GTGGGCTGTTTGCTAAAGGGCTTTCAAACAGTCCCACAGTGCTTTATGAAACTTAAAAAACTGGAGGTTCAAAGAACATCATGGGCCCTTATGCAACTGCATTTTGAAGTCCCGACAGTCAGGCCAGAGCAGAGCATCACTGGACGTCAGTTTGAAAGCACACTATGTGGCCCCTGGAACCAAAAGGATTGGGATGTGGCCCCTTAAACGAAAAAGCTCCCCCACTCCTGCAGTAGAGGGAGTGAGGCCTGGCAGCAACCTGACACGCTCCCTCTTTGTGGAGTGAAGGCTTAGAGAGATGACCCATATATTTTGCTTAAATGAAGAAGCAATATATATTTGCACAGGATTTCAACTTTCAGTACCCATCCACCTGCATTCTCATGAAGCACAATGTTTATTTTCATTGGTAGTTGCTTGTTATTTGTATAAGGACTGCCTTGTTCTCTGGGCGTCTCACCTGCATAAAATGGTAATGTACAATACAATAAAACAATACCGTAAAACAACACACAGTCTGAACTTTTCCAGGAGGGAGAAGAATAAAACCAGGCGAGTAAAACATTCATAATAAGCAAGTAGTGGTTTGGGTTTTCTAAGAAATAATAAATAAATAAAATCGCAGATCTTCTCAAAAAGGTTTCACCTGGTGTCTGAATGTCCGTGGAAGTTTTCCCTTTCTCCCAGTCTGCATCTGAATTGGATGAGCAATTGTGTGCATATGGAATTGTTTGTCATGCTTTTTACTGCCGATGTTTTCCCTCACAGCAAAACCACTCTGAGATACCTTATGGGAAGAGATTCATAAAGGGACTCAAATAAATAACCCCCCTCTTCTCTGCAGCTCCTAGTCTCCTCCTGGCAAATATCAGCCGCAGAAAGTTAGGGAACATTTCAGAACAAAGGGGGAGGCTGAGGTGACGGTTACTTCCCAGGGCAAATGAGCAAAAAATCGCCTCACCACCTCTTCTGCCAGATCAAAAGCCCTTCCATAAGTAGAACACTTTCTACCCAAAGTGTGAATTGGCCCATAATTCTTATTTTCACCCCCCACCACTTTTTAAAGGTTGTGATAGCGATGTTCATTTTCCCAGTATGATTCTGTAAGTTGAATTTCTGCCACGGCAAGTCGTACCTCTTACAACCACCTCTAGAGAAGAAAATCAACAATCATGAGCATAATAATCTTCTCTCCCCAACCAATCCTTGTAGAAGAATAATTGCATCGCCTTGGCAGGACCTTTGGGGTTGGGTCTTGTCAGTAGCAATTGGGACTGAAACTCTATCATTTTGCCTTGGGTGAGCAATATGATGATGATGAAGAAGGTATTCTCATTCCACATACCAGCTTAATGATTTTGTTTACTCTTTAGCAGGCTCATTTCCAAACAATGACTGATCTCTTCCTTTTCGGAAATTATGGTTCAGTAATGATTTTTGAAGCCCAGCAGGAGAGAATACCTTTCCGTGGGATTGCTAATATTGATAGGCCCTTTGAGTTCAATGTTTATGAGGAGAAAATTCAGAGGAAAGTTGTTGGTTAATAGCTCTTATCAAAATGTAGCGAGCGGAACAGAATTTTGAAAGGGAGCTGGGAGGAAGGGTTTTCGCCCCTCTCTGAAACCTTATTTATGGAAACCAACATTCAAAGAAAATTATCCTAGTACAGAAGTGGGGGAATGAGCAGCTTATAAAAACAGACTTTCTTTGGATAAAGACGATGATATTTGGGAGGAGTTTACACAGAATATGTTATTAGTTAAAGTAACATACAAAAATGCATTAAACCAGTAAAATTTGCTTTGAAAAATCTGTGTTATTAAGCAAAATTGCACACAGGCATGTATATTAGGGTACATTTGCACTAAAATGCTGGTAAGAGCTTAAACTGATGTGGAAATGTGGAAAACTGAACTTCTGACTGGAACAATGAGAAACAAACCAAAATTGACCATTTCCCCCATTCCTAGGGGAGGAGCGTGTAAGAGAGAGAAGTGTGAAACATAAGGCATGCCTTCATCTGTTTTAACACCCAAAGGAGCCCTGTTTCTCTGTGAAACCTGTGTGAGCCCTTCTCTTGGAGAGAACAATTTTAAATCTTTATTTACACAATTGCCTAGAAAAAAAGAAGAAAAAGATTCACAGAACCCTGCCTGTTCCAAGAGTTTGTTGACTCATTGGGCACGTGTCTGCCTTCTGAACCGCTATCTGAATGGGTAAACACATCAAAGACTGAACTGAATTCAGGTGGTGGTATCTTAGCATAACGTATTGTACAGGCAGACGCTAAATCATTGCCCTTGGCCCGCCGTAAACATTGCTGAACATAGTATACAAACGCTGCTCATTTCTGTGTGGCTGCTGGAGACAATGGCATGTGTCAACATTTTTCCTCTTTTTCCCCAATAAAAAGCAGTGCTCTGCGGAAACAGCCGATGATTCTTCACTTTTTTCTGCCTCTTTTGGAACACGGAAAGTTGTTTTTTTCACTGCGTCAGCCCATTGCTAGCTCAATATGGCCTACGCAGTGGTGTAGGAAGGGGGGCAATGGGGGTGGGCCGCCTTGGGTGCCCTCGCTGAGGGAGGTGAAATTTGGCGCGCCGGCCGCCAGCCCGCGACTCCCAGGCCTACCCCGAGCCGTCAGGGTAAGGAGGGGAGCTGCGCTACTTTGCCGGTCGCATTCCCCCCTTCTCCCTACATTTTGACAGCTTGGGGGAGGCTTGGGAGTCGTGGGCAGGCGGTGCACCGAATGTTCGCCATGGGCGGCTCGCTCCGCCCCTGTGAGTGGCTCGTTCCACCCCTGGCTGCAGGGCGTGCTCGCTGCTCTGGGCACCCAAGCTGCTTTCCCTCGCCTGGGAGGGCACTCTCTGCACCACGTCCCCCTCAGGAGCGCACCCACCCTGGGCAGCACAGGCATATGCTCCACCGCTGAGCCTACACAGACTGGCAGCAGCTGTCCAGTGCACTTAAACAGTTACTTTCAAACGAGGAGAAGTCCAGAAACACTGTATCCCTTTTGCAGAATTAGCTGTCAAAAATGAGCTTTCCACTGTGCGACCCTTGTCTCAAGGCAGCCCGTTCCAGGTTTTAAACAATAAATTTTAGTTTCCTTTTCCCCTTCTTTTTTGCAGGTAAATTCAGCTCAGTCTTTCCCCCCTCCTCTCCTGCAATCCGGAGGGGGGGCCACTTTCCAAATGTTGAGATTTAGCTCTTTTTTCAAGCAACTTTCTATGTTTCCACTTTAGAGTCTCTTTGCTTTGATCTATTTACAATGAAAGGAAGGCAGACTTCCTGGTTGTACCTTCCCGCTCAGTACCAAATTAGACTTTTTTTTTCCTTTCCCCTTTTGAATCCAATTTAATCCTACTCATGGGTAGTTGTTTTCAAAGTCCAATTGTCCCAGGAAAAAGGCAGCGCTCTCCGGTAACAGCTTTGCGGCTTCGCTCCACGGAAGAAGCACTTGGCTCATAGCACCACGCCACCCCCGCTCCACTCCGGAGCACGTTGCCGAGCTCCTTTTGCAATTGGGGGGCGCAAACAGTGCCCGCTGAGTCCCACGGTCACAGGCTTCACCCGCTTGTGATTTTTGGAGGGTCCCCGCTGCGCTGTAGTGGTACAGACCCAATTTCCGTAGAGCTTCCGAATCAGAGGGAAGCAGCCATTACCGATGGCGCCACCCCGGAAGTTGGCAGCAGCTGTCCAGGGGTTTTGGCAAGAGTGCTTCTCAACCCTACCTGAACACCAAACCCGAGATCTTATGCATTCAAGGCAGGTGCTCTGCCAATGAGCTCAAGCTCTTCCTCACGTCATAGTCTTTATTCAATCATATTTTATTAATTTTATATATACACACACATATATTAGTTTTTTAGCATATCATTTTCAACAATTATTAAACATACTTTTATATCTTATACAATTTTTTTTGACTTCCATCAATCACATCTGAAAATCTTCTTTTCACTTAATTTACATTTCTTACTTTCACTATTACATTTAAATATCATAACTAATATCTCTCTTCTTTCTCCTCTTTGCAATATTTCATATATTCCTCCTTACAAAACTTCTTGTAGTCCTACTAGCGTAATTTGTTGATTACAGTTGCTCTTCAAATAATTCATATACTTCTTCCAATCTTCTGTAAATCTCTGGTCCCAGAGGTTTTGAATCCTTCCTGTCATTTTGTCCAATTCTGCGAAGTCCATTAATTTCATCTGCCATTCTTCTTTTGTTGGTATTTCTTCTTGCTTCCACATATTTTATTAAGTTTCAACATTCTTAACATATACAGTCATAACACAGTTTCGTCTTTCTCTTTTTTTTGTTGACTTCCCACTCCTTTCCCCATGGAGTTGCTTTTTATTCCCCTCTGCTGCACCCTATCCTCTGTCTAGCAAATCATAACCACAATGTGATAATCTAATCACTTCTGTTGCTCATAGCTCAAGTCCTGCTTTCGAGTTCACCATACTATAATATTTCTTTAAATAGTCCAAAAAAGGCATCCATTCTTCCATAAAACACTCATCATTAGACTCTCTTAATTTTGCTATTAATTTATCTTACTTATCCATTCTTCTTTGGTTGGAACATCTTCTTTCTTCCATTTCTACGCTTATAAAATCCTGGCAGCTGTTATTACATATATAAACTGTAAACTTTTTGTGGAATTTTTGCCCCTATAATCCCTATCAGAAACGCTTGGGGCCTTTTTGATATAAAGTTGTACCTTGGAAGTCGAACGGAATCCATTCTGGAAGTCCATTTGACTTCCAAAACATTCGGAAACCCAAACGTGGCTTCTGATTGGCTACAGGAAGCTCTGACAGCCAATTGGAAAATGCGAAAGCCCTGTCGGACGTTCAGCTTCCAAAAATAGTTTGCAAACCAGAACAGTCACTTCTGGGTTTGCAGCATTTGGGAGCAAAAACGTTCAAGAACTAAGCTGTTCGAAAACCAAGGTACGACTGTACTCATTTTAAACATATTTTTTATATCATCATGTATCATTTCCCCAAATACCCTCACTTTCTTACAAGTATACCACACATGGGGGAAAATATCCATATACCTGCTTACACTTCCAGCAATTACTGTCTTAGGAACCTGGACTTCATAATTTTGGTAGGTGTGGGGTGGAGCTTACCTTATTGCCGTGAGGTGGCATGTGATATTTTCTTTCCGTCAAATATTTCCCCAGCAGTTTTAAGTGCCACTGGCTTCCTAGGCTTCCTGATATGAAACGGCCCCATTGGAGGGTAGTTGCGCCAGGAAATCTTCCCCTCAGCTTTATCTGAAGGCCTGGACATGGAAAGGGGCAGACTTTGGTAACCTTTTGCAATATGGCGCCCTGTGCGAGGCCAACATTTGGTACCCCCAAATAGAGTGTCTCCACTTCCATCGTTCAGCCTGGACACTGAGGTCCAGCGCCGAGGGCCTTCTGGCAGTTCCCTCACTAGGAGAAGCCAAGTTACAGGGAACCAGGCAGAGGGCCTTCTCGGTAGTGGCACCCACCCTGTGGAACACCCTCCCATCAGATGTCAAAGAGAAAAATAACTACCAAACTTTTAGAAGACATCTGAAGGCAACCCTGTTTAGGGAAGCTTTTAATGTTTAATAGGTTATTGTATTTTAGTGTTTTGTTGGAAGCTGCGCAGAGTGGCTGGGGAAACCCAGCCAGATGGGCGGGGTATAAATAATAAATAATAATAATAATAATAATAATAATAATAATAATAATAATAATTATTCTCATTTTGAAGCCTATCCTTTCCCTCAAAGAGTTCTAGGCACTGTCGTTTGCCCTTCGCAGAGTTGCAGTTCCCAGAAACCCCTGGCTAGCTGGAGTGACCAAAATTATTTGAAGGGAAGAATGTGTTTTAAAGAGATGGCATGTACACAAGCCCTAGTCAATCAAGTAAAACCTGTTTGATTGTTGTTGTGCTGTTTTCAGAAAGGCCCTGTATACAAACCTGCTTCATCAGATACATCTCCAGGTACTAAACCTCAAGGTGGACAGTCGTCTCCTTTTTTAAATAGTGTTTCTTGAATGTGGTAGCGAGGAATCGGAGGGAAGGAGGCAGGTTCCAAGCTGACTAGTAACAGACAGTAGCTTAAGGGCTGATTCTTCTTTCCCCCTTATTCAAAGTTAGTTTCTTCTTCAGTGTGATTCAGAAGAGGCTCTTTTTACTTGAGAATTCTGACAACAGCTTTCCCCAAATGGATAATGCCTTTCCTGCCAAAGGAAAAAAGAAGAAGAAAAAAGTTATTATTAGGCAATAATGTCCTGGGTTTTCCTTACCCTCTGCTCACGAGGAATAATGAAGCAATGGAACTGGTGGCTGCAAATACAGTTTTCAGTCACGAAAATATGCTTAGCATTTTTGGATGAACTAGACATCCCATGATGCATTGTGCATTTTGTTTGGATATCTGCATTGCCAGGCTTCTTTTCCCCCTTCTGTTTTAATTTTAAAAGCCATTCATACAACTTTGACTTCCCCAAAAGAACCTAGAGTCCTGGAAACTCTTGTTTGGTAAGGGTAACGGGACTTGTAGATCTGTGATGGGTCTCCTAACAGCTTTCAGCACCCTTAACAAAAAGCAAGGAGTGGATGTGACCTAACAGTTTCCTGCTACACTTGTACCTTGGAAGTCGAATGGAATCCATTCAAGAAGTCCGTTTGACTTCCAAAATGTTCGGAAACCAAAGCACGGCTTCTGATTGGCTGTAGGAAGCTCCTGCAGCCAATTGGAAGCCGCGGAAGCCCCGTCAGACGTTCGGGTTCCAAAAAACGTTCGCAAACTGGAACACTCACGTCTGGGTTTGCGGCATTCGGGAGCCAAAACGTTCAACTCGCAAGGCATTTGGGATCCAAGGTACGACTGTTCACTTTGTCATCATCGTCATTTTATTATTTATACCTCACCCATCTGGCTGGGTTTCCCCAGCCACTCTGGGCAGCTTCCAACACATATAAAAACATAATATAACATCCAGCATTAAAACCTTCCCAGTACAGGCCTGCCTTCATGTGAATGGGCTCTCTCTACTTCCTTGAGTTAGTTACAGCAGAATGCTATGCATGTTTTCTCAAAAAGTCCTGTTGATATCAATGGAGCTTGCTTTTCAGTAACTTTGCAGGACTGCAGACTTAGGTGAATTCAGAAGCCGTCGCATTCAACCCCTAAACACAATATTCTAGTGTTTCAGCAGTACACAGCACTGGCTGTTATCTCTTTGCAGGCATAATAGAATTTTTCTGCTCTTCATTCTCACTGTGAGGCTTTTTTTATGCACCAATACCCTCAGGCTCTCTCAGCAATACACAAGAGAGCTACTTTCCCCTCCAATTTATTTCTATGAGTCTTGACAGCTTTCATTTACACAAGTAGATGGTGTTTTAAACATTACCTGTGCTGCTCCTCTCATACCATCCGGACCTCTGGAGTAAGTTTCCGTAATTCCATTCCATTGACTGGCAGCAAAGGCATTGCAAACTTCAGGCACCATATGTTGCCTTATATCAAAACCTTGTTTATTGCAGAGACATCCAGAGAGACCAGCTGCAGACAACTAACCTTATAAGCCAAATTGGTTTATTCCAACCAGTCGGTCAGTTTCTGCAAGTACTTCCCCCTCTGGAAGTGCTGCTTTCTGAAAAGAAAGTCACTCAACTTTTAGGGTGGCGGATAATATTTATGGCTCTTATACATACTGCTTTTCTTTTCTTTTTTTTTAATAAAAATAATTAATTTTTTAACATATAATTTTCAACAATTATTAAACATTCTGTTATATCTTCCAACAATCACATCTGAAAATTTTCCAATCTTTTCACTTAATTTACATTTCTTACTTTCACTATTACATTTAAATCTCCTAACTAATGTCTCTCTTCTATCTCTTCTTTGCAATATTTCATATATTTCTCCTTACAAAACTTCTTGTAGTCCTACTAGCGTAATTTGTTGATTACAGTTGCTCTTCAAATAGTTCGTATATTTCTTCCAATCTTCCATAAATCTCTGGTCCCGCAGGTTTCGAATCCTTCCTGTCATTTTATCCAATTCTGCGTAGTCCATTAATTTTATTTGCCATTCTTCTTTAGTCGGTATTTCTTCTTGCTTCCATTTCTAGGCCAACAGTACTCTTGCAGCTGTTGTTGCATATAAAAACAATTTAACATCCTGTCTATTAATATCCTCACTTATACTAACAAGTAAAAATGCTTCTGGTATACACACTGCTTTTCAGATAGACCTCAGAAAATAGTTTTCATAAGATGATTATGATCATATTTTTTTTAAAATTGGAAGTTACAACACAATGGAAAAGATGGCTATTGTTTAGACAAAGCTGTACTGCAAAGCTGTACTGCTTCTTCTCTGCTCCTCTCAGCGTAGTGGCAGCACCAGAAAAAAAGATTTGAGCGGCACACAGAAGGGGACAGTATACAGTTGTACCTTGGAAGTCGAAAGTAATTTGTTCTGGAAGTCCGTTCGACTTCCAAAATGTTCGAAAACCAAAGCGTGGCTTCTGATTGGCTGCAGGAACTTCCTGCAGCCAATCAGAAGCCGCGGAAACCCCATTGGATGTTTGGCTTCTAAAAATAGTTCACAAACCGGAATAGTCACTTCCTTTTTTTTTTTAAGAATAATTTTTTATTAACCGACCAATCACATCAAATCAAACCAAATTACATAAATTCCAAATTACACAGCCAAATTTTAAATTTTTGTTGGGGGTACCCATATTTCAAGTTCCGAAGGGATCCAATCAACTTCTTGCTTCTTACTGCTGTTTTAATGTCCACAAATCTAACCTTATGATGTTCACAGTACTATCCAGTCCTTTCTTATTATTTTTCCACATCTCTTGTTGTTCTTTTCATATATTTTTCCTTTCTCTTTGTGACCTCTGATAGTCTCCGCAAGCTGGTTAGAACAGTTTGTAATCCTGCGTGGATATTATTTTTTTTATCCAGTAGCCATATCCAGACGTTTTCCATATAACATCACTTCCATACATCAAAACAGTCTTAGCTTCAAAACCTCTGAGGAGATTCATTAGGAATGCAGTCTGAAAGCAAATCCGTTCTTCCTCCCGGCTATAAATCCTTTGGCAAGATGGTGACTCCGAATTAATTGTTGCACCATTCCCAAAAGCTCTTATTGCTTCTCGGTCTCCATAAAGCATACTTTTGGTTAAAGTTTATCTCCACACAGACCTTAATCATCCTGCTTGGGTCCTTTAAACCGACGGTTCTAATGAGGAGGGGTTCTTGTAAATCACATAGAAGGAAAGTAAAAAAGGTGTCCCCCCCCATTCAGCCCCGTTGTCAACATACCCCGCCTTTGGTGTATCTTCATTGTAAAATATTCCTGTTTCTCCAGCCCGTCGTCTTCTTTCGCAGAGGTCACTTAAATTAGCAGACTTCACTCCCCTTCTTCACTTGAAATATGTGCATTTGCTTCTTTTGTAATTAATTATTCCAAATTGCTGCAACTAGTGCGCGATCAGAGACAGCGTCCAGGAGAGCCGAGGTCCACATGGGGGCATTCTGCCTAGGGCCCTCACCCCCTTCTTTCGAATTAGGGGGTGATTTATGGGCACAGCAGGCAAGGGCAGTGTTCCCCATTTCCTTGGGGCAACAAGGGAGGCTGTCTACTCCCATAACAGCCTCTTAATTACCCCGTGTGGGTCGGAGAGATGGTATTGTCGGCCATCTTCCAATGCGCCCCCTAGTGGCCCCCCCGGAATAGTCACTTCCAGGTTTGCGGCATTTGGGAGCAGTGCTCTATTTACGTATAAGCTAAAGGAAAAAAATTGGATGTACATTTCCAAAATATAAGATAGTTCTTCTTAATTGTATTTCAGTTCAACAATTAGTTTGATAAAATACATATTTTGTTATATGCAAATGGCTTTAGATGCCTATTAGGTCCATAAATTACCATATAACATATATTCAACACAAAAAAACAGCGACAATTTGTTGTTGACAAAGGATAGCTGGACATATAAAGGGCCCCATTAATGGACTGTGCAGAATTGGACAAAATGACAGGAAGGATTCGAAACCTGTGGGACCAGAAATTTACAGAAGATTGGAAGAAATATACAAACTATTTGAAGAGCAACTGTAATCAACAAATTACACTAGTAGGACTACAAGAAGTTTTGTAAGGAGAAATATACAAAGTGTTACAAAGTAGAAAAAGATAGAGATATTGGTTATAAGGTTCCAATGTAATAGGGAAAATAAGAAATGCATACTAAGAGATTAGATTGGAAAATTTTCAGACAGGACTGAGGGAAGTCAAAAAAATTGAGGGAAGTCAAAAAAATTGAATAAGATGTAAAAAATATGTTTAATTACTGCTGAAAATGGTATGTTAAAAAACTAATAAAATTATCTCTCTCTCTCTCTCTCTCTCTCTCTCTCTCTATATATATATATGGGCCCCATTACCTTCAGTAGCTTAGGGCCTCATCAAACCTAAATCCAGCTTTTTGGGGAGCCAAAACGTTTGGGAACTTAACTGTTTGAGAACCAAGGTACGACTTTATTTCTGGATGGGTGAGCTGTACCCCATATGTTAAGATCTCTGAAAGAAAAATGGTATATATTACTGACAGAAACCAACAATTGGGAGGCTCAGGGGGGATGAACTCATTTCGGGGTGTGCTTGCTTCCTGCTGGCCTGTCTCAGGGCAAGATGGTTCTTCAGCTGCCCCTGTGATAACCATTGGATGAGAGTAAGGTCTCCATTGGATAGTGGTAGCTTGTCAGGTCTTTTTCTTTCTTCCCCACTTTTCTCAGGGCAAAATGAGAGGGAGAGGTCTGATTTTTTTGCTGGCTAATGGGAACTGGGGGGAAATCTGTGTGTGGTGTTTTCTTTTTTTCTCTCCCCCCCTTTTAAAATTATTTTTATTAGTAATTTCAACATCACATTTTATCAAAAAACATATCATCCTTAAATTCCCCTCCTGTTTTTCCCCTCCCACCTCCCCAAAAACATAACCCCCCCAGACTTCCCTCAGCTCCTCTCTCTGGTTTATCAACATATGTTATTTTCTGCCTGTTACATAACTGTACAGATCCTTAATTAATCTATCTGAATGTTATCAATAAAAAGTTTGTGAATGTTTATTCAAAGCCTGCCAAGGAGTCCAGTTCATTTTGTTGTTTCTTTAAATACTTTGGAAAGGGTTCCCATTCATCTTTAAAATCACAGTTATCCTTGTAGTTTATCTGTCAATTTTGCCAATTCTGCGTAGTCCATCAATTTCTCTTGCCATAGTTCTTGTTGGGAAACTGTGTATGTGCAGCTACTCACACAGAGTCAATTAAAGTTTGGCAGACAGCCGGAAGGCAATCTGAAGGAGTAAGTCTGCCTGGAGATAACAGAGACATGGAGACAGCTCCCTGATTGGTCAAGCTCTCTCAAGGGAGTGATAATTAATGGCCTACTAACTGGAATGCGTGAGTTCAGTGTTCAGAAGTTCAATAGTTCTGTGTGTCAGTGTAGGAGTTGTGAGTCGTGTCAGAGAGAGCTAGCAAAAGATCTGTGTTCTGTTCCTGTAAATAGTCCACTGCATATAATAAACACCTAACTACAAGTTCCTGGTTCCTGCTTCGTCTATCCTGTCTGCAGCCAAGTTGCCAATTGCTTCCGTGGATTCTGCATTTACTCTGCTAGGTCTGGCTAAGGTCCTGCAACTAATCAGAAAGTTGTGAAACACCAAATAGGTTTTGCCAATAGTTCTTTAGTCGGGATTTCCTCGTTCTTCCATCCTTGTGCTATTAAGACTCTTGCCGCTGTTGTCACATACATAAAGATATTTTTCAATTTCCTTGGCAGGTCTTTTCCTACAATCCCTAACAAAAATGCTTCCGATTTTTAAAAAAATGTTAATTGGAACATTTTCTTCAGTTTGTTATATATCATTTCCCAAAACTTTTTGATTTCATTACAACATATGTATTAAACATATGCATTAAACATATGATAAAAGGTCCCTTCTTTTTCTTTGCACTGTGTGTGGTGTTTTCAGTCAGTCTCGTTGTTGGGAAATTTGATTGGCAAATTCCAATATGAAGCACAGTTGAGAAGCCACAGGCTTTTGTACTTTCTAAACATTCCACTGTAGTTCTCTACTTTATAAACATTAACCCAAACACACATTCCAGAATACCTCCCTTTTTAACAGTGTGAGTTTTGAAACAAAGTATGTTTAGAAATGCATGTTTTTTTGGGGGGGGGAAATGTTAAAATACGTATTTCAATTAGTTGTTGTTAATCACAAATTAACATGGAGTCAGGACTGCATGGACTTAGGTATGAGTTCAGCTGAAAATGACATGGGCTTGAAAGAGATTGATTTGTTCACCCCTGGTTGCAGCTTGTAAAGAAATTCTCCATATCTTATTGAGTAGAAAGAACATTTTGCAATATTGCTGTAGACCTGCAGGCCCCATTGCAGGTAGTTGTCATAAAGGCCAGTCTATCAGCCCACTCTTGGATATACAGTGGTACCTCAGGTTACATACGCTTCAGGTTATATATGCTTCAGGTTGCAGACTCTGCTAACCCAGAAATAGTTCCTTGGGTTAAGAACTTTGCTTCAGGATGAGAACAGAAATTGCGTGGCAGTGGCGGTGCAGCGGCAGTGGGAGACCCCATTAGCTAAAGTGGTGCTTCAGGTTAAGAACAGTTTCAGGTTAAGAACGGACCTCTGGAACGAATTAAGTACGTAACCAGAGATACCACTGTACAGTATACAGATTCCCTCCCCATTTTCTCACTTTTAAAGAACTGTTTATATTTTACCACTGTAGCACTAATATAGAACAAAAGTAAGTGTGTGTGTGTGTGTGTGTGTGTGTGTGTGTGTGCAATCTCTCTCTCTGGAAACAAGGAAAAGCAAAGTCTCCCTCTGGTCATAAAGCCCAATTGTAGCGTTAACCTTCATTTTTATTTATTTATTTAAAATGATCTATCTCGCCATTTCTGGCCCGAATGGGACCCCAGGTAGCTCACAGCGCAACCAAAGAACATTGACAACCATAAAAACCAATAAAAAACCAATAACATAAATAAAAATACAATATAGAGTAGAAAGAACTGTGGAGCCAGCTTAGCCCTCATTTCCTTTCTCCCCAAGCCCTGGAAAAGAAAAAAGATTTCGCTTCTTTCTCAAAAGATTTCCCCTTCTTTTTCTGCAGTGTGCATTCCTTTGGGCGGGGAAGTTCTTTTGGCAGAACCATCCCTCTCTCCTGACTTTATTGCCATATATAAAACATTTGCATACCACCACTCATTAAAAATCCATAGCATATAAAAATATGAGCCTATAAAAACATATAAAAACATATAAAACATATAAAAACATATAAAGCCTATAAAAACATATAAAATAGCATATAAAAACATGAGCCAACAGTGTGACGCGGTAGCTAAAAAAGCCAATGCAATTCTGGGCTGCATCAATAGGAGTATAGCATCTAGATCAAGGGAAGTAATAGTGCCACTGTATTCTGCTCTGGTCAGACCTCACCTGGAGTACTGTGTCCAGTTCTGGGCACCACAGTTCAAGAAGGACACTGACAAACTGGAACGTGTCCAGAGGAGGGCAACCAAAATGGTCAAAGGCCTGGAAACGGTGCCTTATGAAGAACGGCTAAGGGAGCTGGGCATGTTTAGCCTGGAGAAGAGGAGGTTAAGGGGTGATATAATAGCCATGTTCAAATATATAAAAGGATGTCACATAGAGGAGGGAGAAAGGTGGTTTTCTGCTGCTCCAGAGAAGCGGACACGGAGCAATGGATCCAAACTACAAGAAAGAAGATTCCACCTAAACATTAGGAAGAACTTCCTGACAGTAAGAGCTGTTTGACAGTGGAATTTGCTGCCAAGGAGTGTGGTGGAGTCTCCTTCTTTGGAGGTCTTTAAGCAGAGGCTTGACAACCATATGTCAGGAGTGCTCTGATGGTGTTTCCTGCTTGGCAGGGGGTTGGACTCGAAGGCCCTTGTGGTCTCTTCCAACTCTATGATTCTATGATTCTATGAATATAACAACAGTCCAGTAAGCTTGGTAGCAAGGAGCAGCAAATACCTGAGGGAGCAAGTGTGATTTTTGCAAGCACTCAAAACTTGTTTATGTTGTGTTTCAGGAGGGAGGTGATTCAACAAAGGGAGCCTTTGACAGAAGAGACCCTCCCCTTGGGCTGCAGGAATGGGGAACCTGTGAGCCTTCAGATGTTAGACATATCCCACCAACCATGTTGGTTGGAGTTGAATGGGAGTTTGGAGTCCATTCATATTTTGACAGCAGAGACATCACCTTGCCAACAAAGGTCCGTATAGTTAAAGCTATGGTTTTCCCAGTAGTGATGTATGGAAGTGAGAGCTGGACCATAAAGAAGGCTGATTGCCGAAGAATTGATGCTTTTGAATTATGGTGCTGGAGGAGACTCTTGAGAGTCCCATGGACTGCAAGAAGATCAAACCTCTCCATTCTGAAGGAAATCAGCCCTGAGTGCTGACTGGAAGGACAGATCCTAAGCTGAGGCTCCAATACTTTGGCCACCTCATGAGAAGAGAAGACTCCCTGGAAAAGACCCTGATGTTGGGAAAGATGGAGGGCACAAGGAGAAGGGGAGGACAGAGGACGAGATGGTTGGACAGTGTTCTTGAAGCTACCAGCATGAGTTTGACCAAACTGTGGGAGGCAGTGGAAGACAGAAGTGCCTGGCGTGCTCTGGTCCATGGGGTCACGAAGAGTCGGACACGACTAAATGACTAAACAACAACAACATATTTTGACTGGCCTTCCCTGTGACATTCTTGGTCCTCACTAAATGGAGGCTGGGATACTCTTATGCTATTGAAGTTCTGTTTTGTTTATTTTTTTAAATCAATATTTTATTATTGGTTAACACTGACTTTTTATACAGGCAATTATTATTGTTGTAAAGGTAAAAAAAAAAAGGGAAAGGAACCCTCAATGGTTAAGTCCAGTCAAAGGCAACTATGGGGTTGCAGCGCTCATCTCGCTTTCAAGCCGAGGGAGCCGGCGTTTGTCCACAGACAGCTTTCCAGGTCATGTGGCCAGCATGGCTAAACCGCTTCTGGAGCAACAGGACACCGTGACAGAAACCAGAGCACACAGAAACACCGTTTACCTTCCCGCCAGAGTGGTACCTATTTATCTACTTGCACTGGCGTGCTTTCGAACTGCTAGGTTGGCAGGAGCTGGGACAGAGCAACGGGAGCTGACCCTGTTGCATGGATTTGAACCACCGACCTTCCAATCGGCAAGTCCAAGAGGCTCAGTGCTTTAGACCACAGCGCCACCTGCATCCCTTATTATTGTTGTAAGTTGCTTTGGATGGGTTATGTCCCTGTGGAGATGGCAGTATTGAGTCTGTGGCTCATGGGCTTCTGGCTTGCACTCTTTATAAATATTTGAGGAGTGCGTTTATGACCCCTCTATTATTATCCACGCTGGGTCACTCAACCATTGCTACTGTGTCTTTACTTTTAGCAGATCAAGATGATCAGGTCTCAGCAAAAAACTGCAAGGATTTTAGCATGGGCAGTTAGAATAAGATCTATTATTTGATTATTGATGCAAATCCCCAAAGTAGTAGTTTTTACCTCTATCTTCAGTACATTGAGCGGTAGACTCGTAATCTGGTGAACCGGGTTCGATTCCCCGCTCCTCCACATGCAGCTGCTGGGTGACCTTGGGCCAGTCACACTTCTTTGAAGTCCCTCAGCCCCACTCACCTCACAGAGTGTTTGTTGTAGGGGAAGAAGGAAAAGGAGAATGTTAGCCACTTTGAGACTCCTTAAAGGGAGTGAAAGGCGGGATATCAAATCCAAACTCTTCTTCTTCTACATTTTATTTTATTTTATTGCCATGGTTAGTGACTGATGCAAATTAAGATTCTCCTGATTCTGATTCTGCTTTGGATGGGCTTTGCTGAGAAAGCAGTATAGCAATATTTTAGCAAAAATAAAGGAACTGGAGGGTCATAGGTGGGAACTACTACAGAAGACAGTTCAACTGTATGTACAGTGGTACCTCTGGTTAAGTACTTAATTTGTTCCGGAGTTCCGTTCTTAACCTGAAACTGCTCTTAACCTGAGACACCATTTTAGCTAATGGGGCCTCCCGCTGCCTCCACGCCACCACCACACGATTTCTGTTCTCATCCTGAAGCAAAGTTCTTAACCCGAGGTACTATTTCTGGGTTAGCGGAGTCTGTAACCTGAAGCGTCTGTAACCTGAAGCGTAGGTAACCCGAGGTACCACTGTACAGTATTGAGCATTTTCTGTGATGGAGAGTTCCTTTGGACAGCTTTGATAAGGCTTAAAAATACGTGGGAAATACAACGTTCATTGTCACTACGTGTTGGTTCCTGACAAGTTCCTGATTGCTGTTAGTCTTTCTCCTCTCCATCAGCAGTGGGCTTAATATGAAAAAGAATTCGTTGAAAATGGAAAGTTTGCCATGAAGCCCGCTATTAAAATAATTGCACATCTTTTAATGGTCTGAAGCAGACGTTGCTTGCACTGCACATTATATCCACTTTGTTTCCATAGTAATGGGGAGGGCAGGAAAACCCGCAAATAAGTTGCTAAGTAATCATGGGGGCATTTCATTTTTTTAAGTGCTTCACTTGCACTCTCTCAGAAAGAGGTGAGGTGGCATGAATAAATGAGTGGTTTAAGTTATAACACCAATCCACATCACAGAATTACATCTCATAATAAAGGTATTTTCCAGAAAGAACAACTGCCTTTATGTCAAAGAGCTTTTGGGCGGCTCATGCCCTGTGTGCAAATTGAAATGGAGGTTTCTGAGGCAGGACAAACATTTTGTTTGGCTCCAAGCTTTTGGCTTATAAATAGAAGCCCTCAGACACACACACACACACACACACACACACACACAAATTATACTCAATGATGTTTGGGAATTCCAAGAAACCAAAACCATCAGTGCTGTGTCAAAAGGCTCAGCCCACCATCTTCATTCAAAATGGCATCTGATGGTATCTAAACGTGGACAAAAACCTGCTCTTTGATCTTAGAAATCACCATGCAGAATTTGGTTATGGTATCTAAAGTGGTGCTGAAATGCACAGTGAACAAGAGACTTTCCAAAATATACCAGAAATATGTGTTTGTCTGCACACACATGTGTGTATGTATACATAGTGTATATGAGAATTCTGCTAGTAAGTTTCCTGAGCAAGGTCTGTACAAAGCTTTACTGAATATTAATGTTGAACTCTGGTGTGACTGTTATTTAGTACATTGCATGTTCGCCATTTAGCGCTTCTACAATATTAAGTGATATACAAATTGCATGGATAAACAAAACAAGGCAAAACCGAAGTGTTTACTTTCCATTTGCTTGGATAGTTCTTAGCTTCTAACTAAGCCCTGTTACTTGATGGCCGGAAGGGGTCTGGCCCACTCAAAATCACTCAGTGCTTGAAGGTTTGGTCTTTTATTTGCTTCCTGATAAACAGATACATAAAAAGCCCAGCAAAGCAAAAGCTGTAAACCAGGCATAGGCAAACTTGGCCCTCCAGATGTTTTGGGACTACAATTCCCATCATCCCTGACCACTGGTCCTGTTAGCTAGGGATGATGGGAGTTGTAGTCCCAAAACATCTGGAGGGCCAAGTTTGCCTATGCCTGCTGTAAACCCACGAGGCGGCCAATTAAACACCAGTGTGCAGGGAAGCCCTTTGAGAGTACTTTGTTGCTACCAGTCCTTCTTTCTTTCCTCCATGGGACCACCATTTTATAGACATACATGCTCTAGGTGGCTTATATTTCATACACCAGACCCTCCAAGTGTCCCTATTTTCCAGGGGTCATCCCTGATTTAGAGAATCCATCCAGGTTTCTGATTTGATCCCAGAATGTCCCACTTTTCCTTAGGACATTCCTATTTTCATTGTAGAAATGTTTGGGGGTATGGAGTTATTTGACTCCCGAGCTGTCCAAAGGCAATCTTGTATAGAGAAGCTTTAAAAAAATGTTTTATTATGTTTTTATATGTGTTGGAAGCTGCCCAGAGTGGCTGGGGCAAGCCAATAAGATGTGTGGAGTATAAACAGCAAAATTCACATTATGGAATGGGACGTCCCTATTCTCATCAGAGAAATGTTGGAGCGTATGCATACATGAAAGACCTGGAGCTCCAGCAGTCCTTAAATTTAACATGCACATCCTTATGTTACAATGATGACAACATATGCCCTATGTTCACCCTGGGTGGTGGCTGTTGTTTTTTTTTTTTTTGTAATGTCTGAAGTGGAGACTAAACAACCAGTTTCCTATTCATGTTCCCAGATCTTCCTTGTATAGTTTGGACCTCTTGAGGCCCAGGTTGAGATCCGTGAAGCTCATATGTGAGTACAGCTCAGGCTTATTGACTGGAATTGACCGTCCAGGGGTCTTTTACCTTTTTTGTTTTTTTTTTAACTACTGGGAGATCTCTAATTTGTCTCCCTTTTGCACATGAGGTCATTGGAAATAGCCAAGAGCACAACATAATTATTGCACCAGCAATAGGGGGACATGAGTCTGCAACTGATGGTGGATCTTGTGGGATGTAATCCGCTGGTGCAGTCAAATGCAACATTCCTTATTTCCCTAGAGTGGCCACATGCAGGGGGACATCCAGTCAGGGTAACTTCCTGTTCCACTGGTCTGGAGCATCCTCCCCCTGCATGTGACCTGGGAGATGGGCGTGGCCCTGGCTGACTCCACAAAATGCAGCCATTTTCTCAGTCTAGCTCCATTGTCTTGTACTTTCTCTTGCTTGCTGCTCTCCTGCAGCCATTTTGTTGTCTTAATGTAATTTTTGCTGTCTGCTGGCTCTCAGCCAGCAACACCTGAGTTCAGTCTCCATATGAGATGAACTCGCAGTTTGTTGTGTAACTACCAAGTAAAGTCTGCCTTTCAGGGATCAAACTGTGAACTGAAATGTGAGTCAACGTTTTGTTGCTTTACTCAGAAAGACTCTTGTGTCTTTATTCTTTTAAGAGGGATCAAAAGGGAGACACCAGGAATAAACTCAACTAAGAGATTCAAACAGATCTGCAAACAAGCTTCCAGCTATACTGAAGGGAATCTGCTCTGCTTACTTATTCAATATATCCTTTCCTACTATCCTGTGTAATCTCACTGTAGACAAGTTGTACAAGTGACAATAAAGTATTTCAATTCAATTAACATTCCCACAGATCTTGGGGCATCTTAGGTGTGGATTCTGCCTCTGCATGAGCACCCAGCCCTGGTCAAAGGAAGGAGCTGCAAGGAAATATTGCATACCCTCCAACATTTCTCCAAATATCTTAAGGGCAGGTTCAATCAGCTGCACTCCCTGATTGTAATAAAACTTCATCAAAGCCTCAATGCTTTTCTGTGTCTTTCCCTTCAGTGTCTCCATATGACACTTCCAAGAGAGGTTTTTATTCAGGAATACACCCAGATACCTAAATGAGCAAGTTCGTTCTATAGCCAGCTGATCCAAGCACCATCTATGCCTAGGACTGTGTCTGCCAGCAATCACAATCTTGGTACCAGCGAAGTTTATAGATAGGCTTTCCTGTTTACACTGTGTGCTGAGGGAAGGCAATGTTAGAAAGGGTGAAAATATTAAATGGCCAGGAATCCAAATCAGAAACTTGATTGGCTTAAGAGAGCCAGTACAGTGGTACCTCAGGTTACATACGCTTCAGGTTACAGACTCCGCCAACCCAGAAATAGTACCTCGGGTTAAGAACTTTACTTCAGGATGAGAACAGAAATCGTGCTCTGGCGGTGCAGCGGCAGCAGGAGGCCCCATTAGCTAAAGTGGTGCTTCAGGTTAAGAACAGTCTCAGGTTAAGTACGGACCTCTGGAATGAATTAAGTACTTAACCTGAGGTACCACTGTATTATTTCCTGAGCAACAAAACATTGTTAACGGTTTTTGTGTGACAGGCTGTAGCCATCCTATCCGAGCAAACTGGATTTTAATTCAAATTGAAATACGTATTGGGAGTGCCTTTCCGATCTGTTTAATGCACTGCTTTTCTTCTTCAACATTGCCGAAGGAAGACGAACCCAACGAGGTGGGATGCAGATTCTGAAGTGGACAAAGAGTGGCAATTCATATATGACAAACCAGATTTGAGGGAAGTTTTAGAGGCTGTTTATCCATTGCTGCCAGTCAGATCAAATTTATCTCCTTGCCACTTCAGTGACGGATATTACCGTTCACACAGTTGGATAAGTGACCTTGTCAGCATTATTGGGGGAATATATTTTTATGCTGAAATTATTCACAAACTCTCTGGCGCTTTTAAAGGACTGCGGGTACCTCTCGTTAGAATTATAAAATTGTCATCTGTTCTTCTCTTCACGAGAAGACATGCCTTTTTAAATATATAGGGCAAAAGAGTTGTATACTCCTCAATCTTGCAACATCTATAAAAGCTATGCAGTTGATATTATTGAAGGGATTATTAGGTTATATGCAATGAAGCTGTCCCATTTCCACAAGGACTTCCGCCTGCACACAACAGGGCCCTGTTTCTCCTTCTCTTCGCACTACATCCCACCCCACACTTATAAATCTGTTCTGGGGTTTTCCCCAACCTCTTGCACTTGTGGGAAGTCCTTTCAGTAACAATCTATCCGTATCTCTCTTTGTCTCTATTGTGTAGAAGGAGTGTCGGATTTAAGGTAAAAGTAAAGGGACCCCTGACCATTAGGTCCAGTCGTGACCGACTCTGGGGTTGTGGCGCTCATCTCGCTTTATTGGCCGAGGGAGCCGGCGTACAGCTTCCGGGTCATGTGGCCAGCATGACTAAGCCACTTCTGGCGAACCAGAGCAGCGCACGGAAACGCCGTTTGCGCGTCGAGGTCCCCAAGACCCCCCCCAAGAAAAACACAATTGACACTTAATTTTTGTTTAACGTTTTTGGCATAATTTTGGCCACAACTTTATTCAAATACAGCAATGTGAGTGGTTGCTTAGGCATTGGTAGCACTAACTGCGCCCGCACGGGGACAGCTCTGACATTCGCACCCCCCGCGAAGTCAGGAAGGGTAAGTCACCTGGGGAGAGAGACGGGACTGGGAACCATGCCTCACCTCTCCCCAGCATGCTCCCAGGGGCTTGCGTGGCCCTAGCCCCTTGCCAGGGGGTTTCGGACAAAAGCATGGGGGAGCCCCTGGGTTCCTTTAACGGTAAAACCCTTCAGCAGCAGCAGCAGCAGCATTTTGGAGGGGCAGGCACAGCCGAATCCATACCCCTCCACCAGCAGCAGCATTTTGGGGGGCAGGCACAGCCGAATCCATACCCCCCAGCAACCAATTCCAGACCAATGCCTAACCGCAAACCTTACAAGTTGTGACGATTTGCTACGCGGTAGGCGAAAACCAAGTGGCACACACTAATCAGCCAAATGGCAAAATTCCTACTGGGCCCCTGCCCCAAAGCAGACGACCCCATGACAGGCAATAGCAAGGTCAAGCAAACAGCCTAACATTAGGGAAGGGAGGGCGGGTGATCCGAAGCATGCAGCGAAAGAGGACGTCCGTTGCTGCGTGCCTTGTATTTAACAAATAGGGCTGTCAATCACTAATTGGCAACATCTAAATTTCCCCAGTAACAGCCCGCCCCTGCTTACAGGATGGCCAAACCATTTGCCTAGTAACAGTGAGGTGTCTTGTCAGCCCCGCCCGCAACCTGTGCTCTCCATGAGGGAGAACACACTTTACCTTCCCGCCGGAGTGGTACCTATTTATCTACTTGCACTTTGATGTGCTTTCGAACTGCTAGGTTGGCAGGAGCAGGGAGCTCACCCCGTTGCGGGAATTCGAACTGCCGACCTTCTGATCAGCAAGTCCTAGGCTCTGTGGTTTAACCCACAGCGCCACCAGCATCCCGTGCCGGATTTACGTATAAGCTAAACAAGCTATAGCTTAGGACCCCACTCTCTTGCGCCCCCCCAAAACAAAAAAACCTGGGTGTACATTTCCATAATATAAGATAAAAAACAAATAAAATAAAACCAGCATACAGCAATAGCGTTTTGTATTGTGTAGGCCCCTATGATGTAAGTAATGGGCCCCGCCTGCTAGCCTGCTCCCTAAAATATCACTGGTTTGCTCATTTCGATATATAGGGTGTCTACATTCTGCATGTGCAAATGGCTTTAGCTACCTATTAGGTCCATAAATATAGCATATATTCCACACAAAAAACAGCGGCAATTTGTTGTTGACAAAGGACAGCTGGGCATATAAAGGGCCCCGTTACCTTCAGTAACTTAGGGCCTCATCAAACCTAAATCCAGCCCTGTCTAGAAGTTATAAGCAGATTTATGCATATAAGCCATCATGATTAGAGCACAGTTTGCATAGACATGGAACTTTAAAGGAAGCAACAGCAAACGGGATCTACAACTTCTTTTTAGTTGATTGGTTTAATTTTAAGCGATACATACTAGAACTACCAAACACCTTGCAGGCCACAGTTTTCAAGAAAACTGTTCTTCCTGTTACCAGTTTGAAATCAGCAGTTGATCTGCAACCTTCTTCAATGTCTCATGTCTCTTATACCCAGTGCTTTTTTCTGGGGGCACGCAGGGGTACGTATACCCCTAAACATTTTGTGAATCCAACGGGAGAAGAAACTAATTTTTAAAAAATATTTAGTTTCTTCTCTAGCACGGTGAATCGTCAGTTCCATTGCTACCTCTGATGGCGGCCTCATTTCCTTTCCCAGTGTTTCCTGCGTCTCAGTCAGAAGCGAACATTTAATGTGTGAAGCAGTGTGGAATGTGGATGTGTGATAATATGAGGTAATGCATGTTCTTTGTACTTTTGTCCATTTACTGTATTTGTTTCCCCCAATTTGATCTATAAAATGGTGATTTTCTTGAGTCAAAATGAGAGTACCCCTAAACATTTTTTTAGGAAAAAAACCCACTGCTTATAACCATTTTGCAGCAATTATGAATCCAGTGAGATCTCATTTCATGATTTCATTGTATTTCTTCCTTTACAATTGGAATCTCTGTCTTTTGGTTTTTCCAATGCAAATGGCAGCCCGATCAGACAACATATCTCTTCCATGATGCTTCTTTTGTACCAACCTTCCTCATTCTGGGGCCTCCAGATATTTGGGGCTACTGTTAAGTTGTGGGTGAACATATCAGACAACACAGCAATTTTTCAAACAGCTCTTGTTTATTCACAGGCCAGAACAGAACTGAACTGAAGGCTTCAGCCAGCCTGCTTATATAGAGCTCCACTACAACGCAACAGTAACAACTTTCTGTAACTATCCAATCACTGAACGTCACTTTCAATTCCTTATTTGCATATGTGGACCTGAGTGAAAACTATCTACAGTATCCCCCTGCTGGCTCAGGGTGAGAACTTCAGTACATAACAGCTACAAATCCCATCGACCTCAGACAGCGCAGCTGTGGTGGCTGAGACTGATGGAAGTGGTAGTCCACAACATCTGGAGGGCTTCAGCTTGGGGAAGACTGCTTTGCATGAATATTTCAAACATAATGGGACAAATGGAGACGGCTGCTAGTGGCAAGGGAATAATACCACCTCAAAATCTGTGAACCACAATGGTGTGTTTCACTTCCTATCATGGTAGGGCTGACACATATACGAAATCTTCTTCCAGCCCCCGTCTCTCCTCTGGATATTGGCCTTCGAACAAATTTTAGTTGGGGGTAAACTGCAGTTTTTAAAAAGCAAAATAGGAAAGCAGTCCGTTACCAATGATTCTAGTTGATTTGGCAAATTAATGTTTTAGATCACCATGCAGCAGTAGACATAATTAAATGTCAGAGGGAGAGAGGGAGAGGACTAAATGCATGAATAAAATATCTTTTATTTTATCATTACATTTTTATAATAAAATTTACTTGTCATCTTAATGCAATAATGTAGCTAACAAGATAATTTATTTCTGAATATAATTGAGATGTACAGAATGAGGAAGCAAGGCCCTCTGAGATGTCAGATTCACTCTGTTGGAGAGAAGCTCATCTTTGGAAGCTGGTGAAAAATTAAAAACAAACTCACAGAAAAAAGTTGAAGTTGGTGTGGAGAAAAGAGGGATGGGTAAGTTGAACAGACCAGTGCAGTAGAAATGCAACATCATAGGTTGCGTCTCAACTAATGATCTCTGAAGACCATTTCCCACCCTTTTTGGACCTTTACCATCTGATTTGTTCATTCTCCCCTGCCTTGATTCTCATTGCCTTTTGTAGACAGGGCAGCTGTCTACTAGTTCCATCTGGTACGCAGGCTGAGACCCTACCTGCCCGTGGACTGTCTCGCCAGAGTGGTGCATGCTCTGGTTGTCTCCCACTTGGACTACTGCAATGCGCTCTATGTGGGGCTACCTTTGAAGGTGACCCGGAAACTGCAACTAATCCAAAATGTGGCAGCTAGACTGCTGACTGGGAGTAGCTGCCGAGACCATGTAACACGGGTCCTGAAAGACCTACATTGGTTCACAGTACGTTTCTGAGCACCATTCAAAGTGTTGGTGCTGACCTTGAAAGCCCTAAATGGCCTTGGCCCAGTATACCTGAAGGAGCATCTCCACCCACATCGTTCAGCCCAGACACTGGGGTCCAGCTCTGAGGGCTTTCTGGCGGTTCCCTCACTGTGAGAAGTGAAGCTACAGGGAACCAGGCAGAGAGTTGTCTCGGTAGTGGCGCCCACCCTGTGGAAAGATCTCCCATCAGATGTCAAGGAGATAAAGAACTACACAACCTTTAAGACATCCGAAGGCAGCCCTGTTTAGGGAAATGTTTAGGGAAGTTTTTAATGTTTGATGTTTTATCCCTTTATTATTACTGTATTATTATTAATAATAATATTCTGTTGAGAGCTGCCCAGATTGGCTGGGGAAACCTAGCCAGATGGGCAGGGTATAAATAATAAGTTGTTGTTGTTGTTATGCCTCTTTTTAGAGTGTATCACTCCTTTTTAACACAATATGGCTGCCATCTCACATCTCTGCAGATGCAATTCCAAATGTCGCACCATGGATATATGAGGATATTTGGAGGATATATGATGGTACTTGGCTGCCATGTATTGCAGCTGAGCAACCATTCTTAGAATTATAGAACTGCAAAGTTGGAAGGGACTACGAGGGTCACCTAGTTCAGGAATCTTTTGCCCAATGCGGAGCTCCAACCTACGACCCTGAGGTTAAGAGTCTCATGCTCCACCCACTGAGCTAACCGAATGGGCGTTAGGCTCCCATTTCAAACCTCCTCCCACCATTGTAGCAACCAGGGACACTGACTGGTGGTGATGACTGGTGGCATCAGTGGTAATAGCAGGCAGGAGCTCAGTAATGATAATGGGGCCTGCCAGGGTATCTGGACCTTGGGAATTGCCCTAGTGTGCTGAGCACTGATGGTGGGATTGGATCAGGTTGTTGCTGCTGCTGGGAGCAGCAGCAGCTGGGAGATGCTCCAAAACTTCTACTGCTCCGGGCAGGCAATACTAGGTCTTGGTATGCAGCAATTTCCTAGGTGCCACTACATGTTGCCACACTGCTCCACAAATATAATAGGTTTCCAGGTCTTGGTGCACAAGGTTTAGCTTCTATTGTGCAGCTGATCCTTTGATTTTAAGATGGAGGAGGTGGGCTTGTTTTGCAGAGTGGGGAAGAGGGTTCTGTGCTTCTGTTTGCTCCCTCTGTAGGTTAAAAAGTTGGCTGGATGTTTTCATTCAGGAAAGAGACAGCATTAAGAAGTGTGTGTGTGTGTGTGTGTGTGTGTGTGTGTGTGTGCACCTAGAGGGAACTTAAATGTCAGGCTCATAACCGTAAAGGAATTGGCAAGCCCCCAACACGATATTTTCAATAAACATGATTTGCCTTTTTAGAGATGGGGGGAAGACCCCTTCTTTGTACAAACTACAAAGAATTATGTGAAATGCACTACAAATGTCTGTTGCCGGAGGTTTGCATGGCAGAAGATGAATGTCTCTGTCCATTTTATTTTTTTTAACCTGATTTGGCAGGGGATTGTTGTGCTAGGAGGACCGGAGCTGCGAGTTCGGTCTAAATCAAAATAAGTAGCTATCTGTTGTGGTACCTGGAGCCACATTATGACGTGGCAGGTGGCTATACAGCATATCACCCATAATTCCCCCTCGTGACACTCCTGCGACATAAATTACAGCAGGAAGTGCAGGGGCTGCGCATCAATTATCTTTAATGCTGCGCTGTCTCTCATGCACAATTGGTGCACTATGGTGTATTATTTAGGCTGCGCGGCGGAGTACCTGTAAATTGTATTTTGTTTGTTCCTTGCAGCTGCCAGATGGTGTGGAACTCTATACAACTTCTCTTAGTGTTGCTGAATTTTAAGCAGGCAAATAGAATGTTATACAATGTTTTCCCTGTCACTCTCGTTCTTCACCATGTGCTCACCCTGTTTGATGCTCGCATGAATTAGCAACTGGTACTACTCCCCACCATTTTGCAGTCTTAAATCGCCTTGTACATGCTTGCGTTGATGACAACAATGGCTAGCCTGTGTGGAGTGCTTTTCAAAATGCTCCGATTTGTTCTCTTGGCTGTCTCTTGCTTGCGTGTGTAAATCCAATAGGCACAATCCAGCCAAAATTAAGCACTTTTAGGTCCCATTGATTCCCATAGAAAGGATCTGAACCCTTGTTTAACTCTTCCCTTGAAATGACTTAACAGGACTTAACCTGGGTTGGATCGTGAAGCCTTCTCCAAATTGAACTGTCATTGAAATTCTACTCAAGAGGAGAACTCCGTTGTATAGTTAGCAGAGTAAAAACTTAAACACGTTGCAGGATTCCCAAAAAACAGATCAGAGGCAATTGTATTTCATCCAGCAGAGCTTTACTGCTATCGAGGGCAAATGAGCATAATGGTCACAAATCCAATACATTCAGGATTGGCACTGTCCATAAGAAATCCAGTTGCAGCAGACTTAACTTACACTTACAAGAACTTACAATAAGTCTAAACCTTAACACCAAGCATACTCTGTACAGAACACCGCACAAAAAGGCACAGGAATAGAAGAGAAAATTAGTGAAATCCTGGCTCCTTCTAGCCTCTTATTATAGCCAGCATGACCTTGAAGAAGAGATAACAGAACCAGTTTAAGCCAGCTGTACTCAGCGTCTCTGAAGGAATACAGTGGTGCCCCGCAAGACGAATGCCTCGCAAGACGGAAAACCCGCTAGACGAAAGGGTTTTCCGTTTTGGAGGTGCTTCGCAAAACAAATTTCCTATGGGCTTGCTTCGCAAGATGAAAATGTCTTGCGAGTTCCTGCGGGTTTTTTCCCCTCCCCCCCTTTTCCCAAGCCGCTAAGCCGCTTATCAGCTGATCCGCTAAGCCGCTTAACAGCTGATCGCTAAGCCGCTTATCAGCTGATCCGCTAAGCCCGCTAAGCCGCTAATAGCGCTAATCCGCTAAACCGCTAATGGGCTTGCTTCGCAAGACGAAAAAACCGCAAGACGAAGAGACTCGCGGAACGGATTCTTTTCGTCTTGCGAGGCACCACTGTAACCCAAACATCACGAACCTGCTTGTTTCTTTCACACACAGAAGCTTCCAGAAGCTTCCAGAACCCTCTTGAATTAATTAGAATATGAAAGATCTCTACATATCAGATTAATACTTCCTGCACTAAGAAACGCAAACTGACTCTTCTGTTTCTGTTTATCTTCATGGATACTTTGTGGAATCTTACTCAACCTGTCTGTCACTAGAAAATCTCCTAACATGTTATTTAACACAAAAAACATGCTTGCTTCTAGCTTTTGCTTCACTTAATAGACACGTTTTGCTTGTGATCCTTTAGAAAATGAGTTGCTAACCTGATGCAAATAGACTACAACTTTACCATCCTTGACTCCTGGCCATGCAGACTGGGGCTAATGAGATTTTTGGGACCACAAATAAGCCACCTTTGCCCCAGAAGTAGTCATATGTTGAAAAATAATATCCACAGATCTTGTAAAGGATGCTCAGTGCACTGCCCTAATGCATAAAGATAAAGGGACCCCTGACCATTAGGTCCAGTAACGGATGACTCTGGGGTTGCGGCGCTCATCTTGCTTTACTGGCCAAGGGAGCCGGCGTACAGCTTCCGGGTCATGTGGCCAGCATGACTAAGCCGCTTCTGGAGAACCAGAGCAGTGCACGGAAACGCCGTTTACCTTCCCGCCGGAGTGGTACCTATTTATCTACCTGCACTTTGGCGTGCTTTCGAACTGCTAGGTGGGCAGGAGCTGGGACTGAACAACAGGAACTCACCCTGTCATGGGGATTCGAACCACCGACCTTCTGATCGGAAAGCCCTAGGCTCTGTGGTTTAGACCACAGCGCCACCCGTGTCCTAATGCATACCAGAGTGCAAAATATCTTAATAATGGGAGATGCATAATGATTCAGAATATGGGCAAGTTTCCACACGTTTAGGAAATTATCAAAGAGCACCTCGAAGAAGAAATGATCAAACTGCTCTGAATCTAGACGTACGAGGGTGGATGTGGCACTGAAGGGATGTACAGTGGTTCTCAAACGCCTTGGTTCCCAAACCCCCAAAACCCGGAAGTAAGTGTCCTGGTTTTCGAATGTTTTTTGGAAGCCGAATGTCTTCCAATAGGCTGTCGGCTATTGTTTCTGCACCAATCAGAAGCAGCGCCTTGGTTTTCGAACATTTCAGAAGTCAAACGGACTTCCGGAACAGATTAAGTTTGGCGCTTTTGTTTTTGCTGTTTATTTTACGTTTTTGTTTTTGAGGCATTTTTGGTTCATTTGTTTTTGTGACCGTGTGGAACCCAGTTCAGCTATGGATTGATTGATTGTGCGACTGTGGAAATGGATAAAAGCCCCCCATCCAAACAGTGACTATCATCAGTGCAGGTAAGAAAATAATAATAATTTTAATTTTTATCATCTACAATACTGTCTTATTTATTTTATAGTGCAGTACATTGATTATTGCCTTCATTTTATGGATCAGTGGTCTCTCTCATTAGGTAGTAAAATTCATGTTAAACTGCTGTTATAGGGGTTGTTTTTAAAAACCTGGACGGATTAATCCATTTTGCATTGCTTTCTATGGGAAAGCACACCTTGGCTTTGGAACACTTTGGTTTTGGAACGGACTTCCGGAACGGATCAAGTTTGAGAACTGAGGTACCACTGTACCAAGATGCGTAGACAGGGGTTTCATCTAATGTGGGACACTTGACCTGTCAGATATTGATCAGGCAAATGCATGGCAACAAAAACTATCACATGAACCTGCCTTATTCAGTGTCATATTATTTGTCCTTCTAAGTCAGTGTTGTTTACTCTGACCTGCAGCAGCCCTCCAGGATCTCTGGCAGAAACATTCACCACCACCTGCTTCTTCATTGGAGATGACCGAGGCCCAGGACTTCCTGCATTTAAGCCATCCTGGGTGGAAGCATCATTGGGGTGGAGGCTTAAAATAAATTTGTAGCACAGGTCTCCTGCCATGCATATAGGTAAAGGGACCCCTGACCATTAGGTCCAGTCGTGACCGACTCGGGTTGCGCGCTCATCTCGCTCTATAGGCCGAGGGAGCTGGCATTTGTCCGCAGACAGCTTCCGGGTCATGTGGCCAGCATGACTAAGCCACTTCTGGCGAACCAGAGAAGCGCACGGAAACACCGTTTACCTTCCTGCCAGAGTGGTACCTATTTATCTACTTGCACTTTGACGTGCTTTCGAACTTCTAGGTGGGCAAGAGCTGGGACCGAGCAATGGGAGCTCACCCCATCGCGGGGATTCGAACTGCCGACCTTCTGATCGGCAAATCCTAGGCTCTGTGGTTTAACCCACAGCGCCACCCGTGCATATACCTCCATCCAATTCTATGTGCACAATCTCTTGAGTCACAAAAAAAGGTTTCTATTTTAATACCAAAACTGCATGTTACACACATCTGAAAGGACACCATGGTCCACAATAGGGTCTGTTTTTATTTTAACATTTCACCCAACCCATAGAAAATATTTTCTTGATGGCAGCACAAGAGAATTGTAGAAAGTCTTGTATTTAGGATTGCAAAAAATGTATAAGCTACTAAATGTACTATGCTACAGTTAGGGCCAAGATTTTGAAGACTTTAGACACATTAGGTAGGTATGCAAAGAACTGAGACTATTACGGATATTCCTGGGTATAAATGGCCAAGGAATTCTGTGGTTCTGAAACTGAGAGAGCTGAAGAGTTTAATCTCAATGAAATGTTTAAAAAAGGTTTGTGTGTTGAGGGGGAACATTGCTAATATGCTTGTATCAACCAGCCTGGATTTTAGTGACGAAAAAGCTGGTAAGATAAAAGAATTTCCCAAGAAAATGGGAAAGAAACATTTGGCTGGGAATATTAATGGATAAGATTTTGTATTTTTAGTTTGTTTGAGAGGTTGTTTTTTTTTTTAAAAAAAGTGAGATATACTGAAAGCAGCAATATAAAGGTCAAATAGACAAGGTGCAAGAGGTTGGGTAATAATTCAGATAGGAATTTAATTTAATTTAGTGAGGAATGGGGAGAGGACGATGCATTTTGTATGCTATTTTCAATGCTATATGATTTATATTCAGCCCTTAGGCATTTTTACACTCCTGGCTGGAGAGCAGAATTGCAAAATTCGGAGAAGTGTGGATTTTGGAAGAGGATAGATGTGCTTTGCTTTACATATTGTTTTGGGAAGTGTTTAGTTAAGTTTAAATGTGAACTGGATGGAATCCCCCATCCTTACAGAAAATAATATATAATAAATACCAAGTAATGAATAATAGTGGTATCCTGTTAATGGTTTTCATTTTCTTTTTTTAGTCTCTTCTAACTGTGACCAATTTGCCTGCAAACATCTTAAAAATAGGCCAATTCACCTCAAAGCTTTTATTTTTCTGGCCTATTTCCTTGCAAAATCTTGAGTTCTCTCCGCAGTGTCACTTTTTCTTCCAAGTTCCTCACTTGATAAACAAATTAGCTTGGTGATTTAAGCATTCTCGCCCCTGCCATTATATTTTTTATGAGGGCTAGCTTGATAAATGTTCATATACTAGGATGAAGGGTTATAGCAGTTTCTGCCACTGTCACTGCAAGAAAGCTGTGAGGCAAAAAGTCTGTGAGGCTAGGCACACTTAATTGAAAATTAGCCTTGAGCTGCTTTTAGTAAATCTCCTTTAGTAAGACAAGTGGGTGTAGTTCACACACTTCTCAAAAAGAGTATTCCAAAGGTTTTTTCAGTTGCAAATCCTGCAATTTTTTTCAGACAGGGAACATTCTCTGCCCCACCTGGAGATGTCATCCAGGATTATCTGTGAGGATGGGGATAATGCAAAGCAGATGGTCTACTCCTGTGCTATGGACACCCCTAGGCTTGGGAGTCTTCTACTGCATTTCAAGGGACATTGGGATTGTCTCCCTTTGGAAATGGGGCTGAATGAAGAATGATCCGATATAAAAACATGAACTCCAAAAGAGAAGATTCAGCAAACCTGCAGACGGAACAGCAGGTGCTTCAAAGTTCTGAAGAAACATCAGGAGAGGCAAGTTTGGCCCAGGGTTGCCACGGTAACAATGACTTGCCCTCCTTTGTGACATCTCTTGCTTCTCCTTTAAAAGTCACCAACTACAGGTGTCCATTGTGGGTTAGTGAGGAGACCAGGATAGAGAGGTGTGTGTATGTGGTGGGTAGAAGGAAAGGTGGTTGGAGAGGTACGTTTAGGCGTAGGTAGTATAGACAAGAAGGAGGGACTTTTTCTGGACACCATGTTCAACTTCAGACTGTAAGTAGGATTTCTTCCCCTTCTCTATGTCTCCTGGGGTGGGATCCTGGAATCCCCTGCACATTCTCAGCCCCCTGAAATTGTCTCGACCAGTCACTCCCCTCCCAAAGAGCTCAGCTCCTCCACACTCTTTCCCTGCCTTCCTATTTCCTCTCCCATCTCATCAACTACATTCACTGTTTACATTCATAGGCCAGCTATCCTCCCAGGAGCTCAAGATAGCATACATGGTTCTCCCCGCCACCAGTTTTTATCCTCACATCAACCCTGCAAAGTAGGCTAGGCTGAGGGAAAAAAGACTGGCCGAAGGTCAATCAGTGAGCTTCATGAAGATTTGAACCCTGGTCTTCCAGGTTCCCCTAGTCCAGCACTCTAACTACTACATGTCTCCCCACCTCCATCTTCCATTTCTCCAACTGTCAAGCCCTTTCTGTGGGTCTCTGTCTGTAAACAAGACTCCACCACCTTCCTCTCTCGGCCGCCCAGTGTTGTTCTGCTCGTCTTCTTGAACCCCTTGATGCTTGGAGGTCCCACCTAGCGGTCTCCTCCCTCTCTGGGCAGGGCTGTCCTTCAAAGACTAGGCAGAGGCACCCTTTAAATGCTGGCAATACTTCTCTTTCCTTTGGGGTGGAGTGTTGCAATCCCTCATGGGATATAGCATAGCAGGAAAAGGAGAGCAAAGGCCTGTTTGGTCCAGTGGCCAACCAGATGTCTCCAGGAAGCCCACAAGGATTGTCCCCTAACAGGTGGCTTCAGTGGTAGATTGCCTCCAAACCCAGAAGTTCTACATACTGTAACTATTTCAGATCATAACCATAAATACTCCCCTCTTCCTCAATGAAGAGGTGTGATCTCCTCTTTCCAACCTTGCAAGGCAGTTGTCCTTTGCACATCTTTTGGCTGCCAATTTCACAAACCAATTAAGTGTTATGTGAAGAAGTGCCCATCGATGGGGCAAAAACCTCTCCCGTCTCTCCATTTATTTATTTTGTTTCTTTGCTTCATAAAATTTATATACAATATATATATATATATATATATATATATATATATATATAGATATGCGGTTTACAAGGTAAAACAATGTAGGTGCTGTATGTTGACAAGGCCTTGCTCCTGTCAGCACTCACGCTGCAGCATCTTGCACTAACTGCACCTTCCAGGTGAAGCACAAGGGAAGCCCCACGTACAGTGCATGGCAGTAATCCAGTCTTGAAGCAATCAGGGCCTGAACTATGGTAGCCAGGCTCTCTCGGTCCTGGAATGGCAGGAGCTGGTACCTCCTTTCTCTCCAAGCCCTGAATGCTCTTGGCTGTCTCTTTGCAGCTGTTATGAAGTCCTACAGTTCATTCAGCTGCAGAAGGAGGGAAGGAATTGGGAGGGATGTGCTGGCAATTCTCTATTAGGCTAAACCTATTTCTGTTCTGCATCATCTCTTCTAGGTTCAAGAGACTAAAAAATTTCATTCAACCAGAAAAGAACAATGAGGTGGCCCCGCTGCCGGACAATGTAAACCCTGTGGCCAGTGGCGGAGGAAGCCAGAACATCAAAGAAGATGGGCACCAAGAGGAGGGGCGATCTGCCCACGGGCCAGAAAGAACAAAAAGACGCCTCAGGAAGACCAGAAAGGTGGCCCCGCTGCAGAAGAAGCTTATGCCTCCAGGTGAGGAAGTTCCCCCCGCGCCATTTTTGGAAGGGCAGGAATAGGCTAGGGTGGCAGCTCAGGGTATAGGATTTGTGGGGGAGGGGAAGCTAGTAAGAAAACACCAAAAGAGCCAGACTGCTGGATCCAACCCAAGGTTCATCTGGTCCAGCATCTGGAAACCCACCCCAGTGGCCAGCCACTTTTGTGGGGTTGATGAAGATGCTATTGACTGAGAGAGGAGAGGAAGCATTTCTAGTGGAAGCTGGAGGCTGAGGCAGCTGGTAGGACAGGGCAGGGGGACAGTGGTCAGCTAGAGGGCCACATTCTCTTGTGAGCCACATTTGGGGGGCTGCAGGCCAAGACTGGCCCCCAAGGCCTGGGGTTTGCCACCCCTGTAGGAGGAGTGTAGAAGCAGGGGAATCAAGGAGAAGATTCTTGGAATAATCTTGGAAGCTGCAAAGGGACAAACTAACCTGTCCCCATGTCCTTCTCTTGTTGCAGTTGTGACAAAGCTCTTCAAGACCTTCCCAGAGTTTGAGGTTAGTAGTAGGGGAAACAAAAGAGGAGGGACTGGATCCCCCAAACCCTCTGCCCGCTGACTGTGGTCTTTGCCCCCAATTCTGCAGTCTCTGAATCCTTCCACCCCCACCCTCCAAGAGGCTCCCAAAGCAACTAATGCAACTAATGTGGCGTGTGTCCCTGGGGTGTCAGGATGATGCCAGAGGCGTGTCCTGCCCTCTTCCCTGGTGCTGCCCTTCCACCTCTGCCCAGGAGGCTGCAGGGCCCATGGAGGTCCTCGGGGGCAAGGGATGGGGCCCAAGCCTGAGGGAGGCCAGTCTTTCCTGGCTTGGGCCTGCTTGTGGGCTCTCTTGCACCCGTCAATGGTGGGTTTTGTAGTGTCACAAAAGGCGTCTCATCCAGCTTTCTCTTTCCTCTGCAGAAAGCAACAGCCAAACATCAGCTGCCAGAACCCAAAGAAGGTAATTGAATCTGCACACCTTGGGGACTTTTCACTTAGGCCTTCTTGCTGTATTTGCTGTGCCTTGCAGGCCTTTTTCACTTTGCCTCAGTAGGTAGGGCCCTGACTGACTCCAGCTACAAAAGCTGAGGTGGTTGAACCCTTGGGTTTGGGTATAGTTTAGAGGACTTTCTTGAGAGAGGCTGTTAATTCAGCCTCTCTTTTTCATTCTCTTCCAGAAGACCTGCTTATTGAGGACATCGAATGGGCTTAAGGTGGACTTCCGGCAGAGCCGCGGCCATTAGAAAGAAGCGCAAGATAACTCTCTGGGGAATCTCGAGCAACGCGGGGGTTTTAGAAGCTCTGTGAAGGCTATGCGGACCTCAGAACCCCAAGAGGATTATCTCGGTGGACGTAGCACCCGGTGGTGCCCGGTCGTGCTCTCCTGCTCCCTGGGTTTTGTCAATAAATCCGGAGACGGGATCGAGCTGCGGGCATGAAGGGGAGGAAGCAATAACCCTGCGCGGCACAGTCTCAGGCTTCTAATGAAAGCGGCGAGCTTCCAAGAATTAAAAAACGAATTGGGAATTATAATTGGAAACGTCTACGGACTGACTTACTAAAATTGAGTTTACAACGATTTGGAGCACTGAGGGGCGTAAAAAGGGAGTCCGTCCCGGCAGATGGGAGAAGATGGCGTATGGCGGAAGGTTGCAGGAAGGAGCGAGGAGAGAATGTATCTGCTGAGTATTGCCAAAAAGACCTCGGTTACTTTGTTTAAAGTGACGAGGCTAAGATTTTATGAAGGACCAACAGGTGGCGAGTGAAGTAAGAGGAATCTACTTTTCTTCTCTGGCTGAATTCTGACCTGCCAGCTGCTTAAACTTAAATTCGTCACACTCCACCATTTTTGGACTGGGAAAGCCCTAAACTGAGGCTTGGATTAACAAACTGCTTTGTAACTTTGGAAAGTTTAATATACCTGGCCAAAGCTTTTCACTTGATATACTGATATACTGTTGGATTTTGCCACCAGATTAATTACAGTTTAAGGGAAGGAGGCTTTCAGATCGGGACTTTTAACCCCCCCTCCTCTCCCTTTCTTCTTCTCCTGGAGGAAAGTGTTGGAAACTTTTTATTTCACCGTGTACTTTTTACTTCTTCTAATACCTTGGATTAAGCCGACAAGCGGCAGAAGACAAAGAAGAACTCCAGTTGGATTACAAATATCTTTCTATTTCCCATTAAATCTTTCCTTATTAGGTAAAATATTGGTAATAAAGTTGAACATATTTCCAAGGATGATGTTTTTATTTCAAAGTATCCCAATACTAGGAGGAGAGAAATGTTTTAATAATAGGAAAAGAGATTTGGCCAAATTCATGTGGTCAGGGAAAAAACCAAGAATAAACCATAAAATAATGATAGATAAGAAGGAAAGAGGAGGCTTTGGCCTCCCTGACATGGAGTTATACCATGATGCGGTGGGTCTGACCTGGCTAAAAGAATGGATTAAATTGGACGATTCAGATGTGTTGGATTTAGAGGAAGTAGACCCGAGATTTGGATGGCATGCCTATCTAATAGATTAGAAAGTCAAAGTACATAAAGGGTTCCTAGGGCATATAGTCAGAAAGTCTATATATAAAATATGGGAGAAATATAAAAGACTCCTAGAACCGAAAACTCCTTAGTGTCACAGGGAAAAAATTAAATATGAAAGAAAATTGGGCTACTTATAAAACTGTATTAAAGGAAGAAAATGCAGAATTGGAATTAAAGGATTATACAGAAATTAAAGCTCATATTAGTGATTTGTTCCAATATATTAGTGATTTGTTCCAATATATTAGTGATTTGTTCCAATATAGATTAGCGAAAGACAAAAAGATAGGATTTGAAAAAGAAATATCAAAATTCGATAAATACTTAATACAAGAAAAATAAAAATATATATCTAAAGGATGGGAAACAAAGGATGGGAAACAAAGGATGAACTGGTTAAAGCATCCATGATTAAATGGGCGCAAAATATTGGGAAAAATATGCTCGAACAATGGGAAAAATTGTGGAAAGAAGATATGAAATTCACTATGTGTTATATATTGAAAGAAAATTACCTTAAAATACAACATAGATGGTATTTAACACCTGAAAGAATAGCAAAAATGAATAAAAATTGTAGCGATGTCTGCTGGCGATGCAACACTGAAAAAGGTACTACGATGCATATATGGTGGAATTGTTTAAACATAATTTTTTTGGGGGAAACAATATACAATGAAATGAAAAAAATGTTCAGATATTCATTTAGGAAAACATCAGAAGGTTTTCTATTGGGAATAATACCAGGAAGTCTAAAGGAAGAAGACAAGACATTATATTTATACGCAACAGTAGCCGCAAGGCTATTGATTGCGAAAAATTGGGAAAGTGGTATTATACCGACAAAAACAGAGTGGCTTGCCAAATTATTGAAGTATTACAATATATTCAAAACAATGGGAGAAATTGGAAGGATATCAAAAGAGAAGATAGACAAGGACTGGAAGGCGTTTAAAGGATACTTGCAAAATTATATTGAAAAATCAGAACTCCTATTAGAATAAACAAGTTCCGTTATAAATACTGAAATACCAAATAAGATGGATAACAATGTGTAACAGAAAAAGAAGCATAAAATTGGTTTAAAAGTGTGTGAAAGAAAGTAATAGAAAGAAGGTAATCTTATTAGATGATTTTAATGGAGTCACCTCATTGGAATATGATTGTACAGTGGTACCTCGGGTTACATACGCTTCAGGTTACATACGCTTCAGGTTACAGACTCCGCTAACCCAGAAATAGTGCTTCAGGTTAAGAATTTTGCTTCAGGATAAGAACAGAAATCGGGCTCCGGCGGCGCGGTGGCAGCAGGAGGCCCCATTAGCTAAAGTGGTGCTTCAGGTTAAGAACAGTTTCAGGTTAAGAACAGACCTCGGAACGAATTAAGTACTTAACCCGAGGTACCACTGTACAGATTCAGGAGGGAAATCAAGAGGTGGCCGAGTAAGATTGTCTTCCATAAACACGATTTTAACAATGAGTCCATAAGTGACTGTGGAGGCCAATTCTGAGAATACAGAGAAGTTTTATGCAGCTCGAAAGGAGCAATGAAGTGTCGAAGGCCTTAATCAGGTCAATAAATGCCATATACAGGGTCTGGTTTTGCTCTCTGCATTTTTCTTGAAGCTGTTGAGCAATGAAAATCATATCCACTGTCCCCTAGAAGGTTGAAAACCATTTTGGGATCCATGAAGTGTATCCTTGGATATAGTTAGGAGATGGTTTGCTAAGATCCTTGCAAGAATTTTGCCGGGCTGTGGCTATTGAAGAGATGCCATGATGATTTCCACAGTCCATTCTATCACCTTTTTTTAAAAAAGATCGATGATTTGGCATCCCTAAAGTCTGCTGGGATCTCCTCTCTCTCCCAGGTTTTCCCAATGAGCTTGTGAAGTTGTGTAAGTTCAATTCTGCCCACTTTGAAGACTTCTGCAGGTATCCCATCAGGTCCGCTGGCTTTATTGTTTTTCATTTGGTTAATAGCTGTACACAACTCTCCCAGATTTGGAGATATTGCAAGCTCATCTCTAATTTGTTTTTGCGGAGTTTGTGAGAGGACCTCAGCAGCTACAGGGGAGTTGTGGTCAAGGAGATGCTGGTAATGTTATCGGGTCGCAGAGCCCTGGGGAGATCAGTTGCAGACCTATGCCTAATGAATATTTTAATGCTTATAAAGCATGCTTTAGGAAAAATATACTACTAGGACTTAACTTATATCTTCTAGAATGTTGTGGGTTAGATGTTTGTTTCAGTCTTAACAGCATCCTCAAATAACAACATGATTGCAATGATACATAAAATGCCTCACTGGGTCGTCAATATGGGGTGTAAATTATTTCACATGTTGGTACAGATAACAAAAGACTTGCTGAAGTGCAAAATTTTTGTTTCTACAAGAATTATTGCTTCGAACTGAATTCTACTCAGGGTCATTAATTTGCACAAACTAAGCTTGCCTCTTTGAAGATAATTTTTGCAAGAACATTTAAAAGCAATAAATATTCTACCAGCAGCTGAAAAGAAAAATAAATGGGGGGTCATTTACTCATGCAAATATGAGTGCATAATATTGGACTCCTTAAGAAATGTTTTCAAGGAAATACTAATATATTCTACGTATATTTGCAATATATAAGGCCACTTGCGGTATAATTACATAGGTCACTGGAAACATAGGATGCATGGGTCCATGACATCAAGAACCAAACACAGCTGAAGTTCCTGAGGGCCTGTCCGACCTGGGATGTTTCCAGGCCAAGCCAAAGTTTGGTGGATCCTTAGCCAAGAGATGATGTTTGCAGATGGCACAGCCATGACAGATTACTCAGAGGGAGCTCTACAGAGTCTCATCAGTCATTTTGCCCAAGCTTACATGGAGTTCCTGAGACAGACAGATGCCAACAAATGAAGAACTTGCACTAAAATTACAAATGTGAGCAGGAATAACTTGTAGAAAACCTTCTGCTTGCTGTTAAGGGCCAAACCACAACAGAGAAACTCCCTTTCCCAAGCTGGCTTGATGGCAAGAAAAAAAAATCTTCCCATTTTTTTGCAGATATTAATATTGCGCAGTTTGAAGTGACTGGAAGCGTAGAAACTGACTCCTTTTGGAAATGAAGCATTGTCTAGGCCCATAAAAAACATACTATTCAAACTTTTACTGGCAGAACTCTTTTAAAAACAGAACATAAGCATCAAGGATACATCCAAAAATATCCATACAATATCTTGTGCTATCCAGAACAGGCTCAGCATCTTAGAAAAAATGAAATAATCCAGAAAGACCTAGAAGCAAATCTCTCTCTCTCTCTCCACAGCCTGCTGTCCAGCCTCCACTGGCCTTAGGCTGTTTACTCTCTCTTCAGGAGGGCTTCATTTATATCCTCGCTCCATGGAATTTGTGAGACAAAGGACTCAAAGGCAACTCCCTTCAAAATGGAGATATGCAACCCAATACCTTCATCACATAATCTAAGGTTACAACACTCACATGTTAGCTATCAGAGAACAACAATCAGTTAGTTAATTAATTATCAACTCAGCTCAAGCTCAGAGTGCTCCCCTTGGCTTTAATACAGCCCCATGGAAAATTAAACCTTGTCATCCACACACACTTAGGCATTCTCATTTCAGTGTCAATTAAAACATTTTCCTTAACACCCATAAAGGGAAGCTCTGAGTTTGTGCAGGACCTGACCAGTGCCATCCACTCCTGCTGTTCAGTGTTTGCCAGGTGGCACCTGCCAGACCCTGGAAACACCAAACCAAGCAGCCCCTGAGCTAGTTGACAATAGATGGTTGTTAGTGAGTGCTCTCCATATCTCAGGGTGCTTACTATGCTAATAAACATCAAAGTGGTGTGAAATCGGTGAAAAAAGTGCATCAGAAAGCCAGTCAGGATGTACCCCCCAAAATCCTACCCAGCTCCCAGCGGCAGCTGGCAAAGCCAACATTGGTGGGATGCTGGAAAGATTACGAAGGAGCGAGAGAGCTCCTTTATTGGTGTCAAGCAAACTCTACCCCCAACTAAAGTTTGGGAATGGAATTGCTTCCATTTTTGCTTCAGCAGTCCACACCAGGCATAGGCAACCTCGGCCCTCCAGATGTTTTGGGACTACAATTCCCATCATCCCTGACCACTGGTCTTGTTAGCTAAGGATCATGGGAGTTGTAGTCCAAAAACATCTGGAGGGCTGAGGTTGCCTATGCCTGGTCCACAGCAATGGCCTGCCTTTTTAAAAATGGGCACGGATACTACAGTGCTACAGCAAAAGGTGCAACCCACGCTTTTGCTGAAAATATGTTTCTCTTCCGACAAGCTCCATGTTCAGCTACTCCATGTAACATATCTATACCACTTCAGGCTACAAGTGAGGACTGACTCTATGAATATTTTCTGACGTTTTAAAAAAACACCTCTTTATCCACACACAAAACTTACATGTCACTGAAAAGCTGAGGCTAGAATTAGGTAATTCCGTAATGTGTTAATTTTGTATGAGCAAAGGTTAGAATGGAGAATTATTCAAAATTTTGATCGCCTGCGATAGAACTCAGTAAGATAAATCAAATGCAGCTGCTGATAAGTGTGTTTCAGCTCTTAATGTATAGTTTGAAATAGGACATTAATGAAGGGAAAAGAATCTGTTTTGCATGCAGTCTCAGTGAAGAAGGTCTTTATTCATTCTTATCACCTTCAGGAATAAATGCCGCAACTTTGGTCAGGCTCCCATGGAACAGATTTCTTCTTTTCCGGTAACAATTAATTTCAATGTGAACTCTGAGAGCTCATGTTTAGTAGCCATTCCAGATAACAAAAGAAAATGACCAAAGATCCACTATCATAAAAAGAGATTTGGTATCATACATATGAAATATTGGTCAATGGGACAAGCTGAAAGCATATCAATTTAACTCTAGCCCTATAAAAAGGTTTACAACTATATTTTTAAGGCAGATAACTGTCACTGCCACATGATAGATTGGTTGTGTGAAGTGGCTATTGAAATAAGGAACTTGGGGTTTCTACACATGTTTCTGGATTTTGTTTTGTTAAAAAATCATCATCGCCACCAGCCATTTCCTCGTGGTTAAGTATGCTGAAAGCGCCATACAAATCCAATAAAAAGATCCAATAAAATTAAGTTTCAAGATAATTCACTAACAATTGCAAGACGTACTGAGATATTTTTAAATAAATGAATAGTTGTACAAGAATGGATAGGTTAATCAAATGATGTCATAATAATAAATGTATGCTACGATTAAGCAACCTGCAGATAATGCATATCAACAGTAGGGATATAATTCTAGGACCAAAATAATAGGAAAAACAGTAGACCTTACTCCCAACTAAATGGTGGTCTCAGCGAGATCTCCTAAGCAAGGCCACTACATTCAAAGCCAGGTAAACTGGACCAGACAGAGAAGCAGAGAGCCAAAACTCACAGCAAAGATTGGGAAGCTGTGGCACTCTAGATATTGTGGGCTTTCAACTCCCATCATCCACTGTCAGCATGGCCAATGGGTGGAGATGATGAGAGTTTCACTCCAGCAACATCTTGAGAGTCACAGCATCCTCATGCCCACCTAAGTCAGACAAGTTCCAGGCAGGGATGCTATTAACAATGGTACCCAGAAGGCCCAAACTTCAGCTTTTCTGTGCTGGGAACCTGATCAGCTGCCCCTTTCCCCCTTTTTAAAAAACCCTTTGCTTAGAGGGCAGCTGCTGGGTATATTGCAAAGTGCAGTGCCACCGAAAACTCAGCCATCTTCATTTACCCAGAGCCCTGCTATACATTCATGCCCATTTATGCCATGGTGAGCTGTGCCTTGAACCCAGATTTTCTGTCCATTGAGATGTCCTGTCCTCTAACTTCTATTCAGAAGAAAGGTGGTCACAGAATTAGGGCGTGCACATTCATAAAAGTTGCATGGATGAGCATTATTTAGACGATTTTAGCTATAATGGTGACCCAGAGATACCCATTAGTGAAGAAACGGTCATTTCTGCCTTTCAAGTGAGTAATTTGGCCTTGCAGAGTGCTATGATAAATGAAGCCTAAAAGATAGGCAGAGCAATCCTGATGGCTACTCATTATAGACTGGGGTTCAGGCTAATTACTACAGGCTAAAACCCAAAGAGCTCTTTTAGGCATGGCCAAGGTTTTTCGGCATGCCCAATAGAATCTTTAATTCACACCCACTCAGGGTAAGGGAGTCTGCTGTTCAATCAAAGCTGCTTGTTATGTACTGAGTTGAATAGGATCCAAACTGCAGCAGTCTGATTGGTCCTAGAACAATAGGATCCAAATTGCAGCAGTCTGATTGGTCCTAGAACAATAGGATTCAGAATGCAGCAGTCTGATTGGTCCAAGAACAATGCAGCAGTATGATTGGTTGGCAGGAACCACCCAATCATGCTCCAGATATAAGTGAATCCACAACCTGATTGGCTTACAGTAGAATTCCAGAATTAACCAATCATGTGCAGCCCATTGTGTAAATAATGTATATAAAGCAGATACTTTGAGGGGACATTCATTCATTCCTCCTCACCACTATGAGCATGAATAAAGAGCATGAAATCACTTTGTGACTCTGAGTATATTTCACTGCTTTTGAGATTTTCTTTGTTCTAGTTTCGAAAACAATTTGCCACGAAGCATGAGGGAAGTGGTAATTCCAGAGCAGGGGTTTGAGGTGTCCATCTGGGGTACCACTAAGCAGAACCCAGCATGAACAGGGCTGGGTTACCACATTTTGAAGTCTATGAAGTACAGTGGTACCTCGGGTTAAGTACTTAATTCGTTCTGGAGGTCCGTTCTTAACCTGAAACTGTTCTTAGCCTGAAGCACCACTTTAGTTAATGGGGCCTCCTGCTGCCGCCGCGCTGCCGGAGCACGATTTCTGTTCTCATCCTGAAGCAAAGTTCTTAACCTGAAGCACTATTTGTGGGTTAGCAGACTTCCGAGGGGCGGCGCGAACGGCAATGGCGGTCTTCTCCCGACGGGAGAGGAGGCTCCGCTGAAATCGGGTCGTCCGCTACGGCGAAGCGGAGACCCAACGAGGAAAACCCCAGGCAGCAAGAGCCTGGGGTCCTGAGGCTCGGCGGGCGCCACGAGCAGCCCTCCAACTGCAGAAGGAGCCTCGTAAGGGGCTCCGGAGCGTGGAGGGGGGTTGCGGTGCTGAGAGCCGTTTCACAGTCAGCGGAGTGAAGCCGCGCTGCTGCTGCCGGTGAGCGCTGATCCTTTTTCCTGTTAAAATTCGGACTTGGAAGAAAAACAACTTACTCGTGAGTAAAGACTGAATCACTTGGAATTACAAATTTTAAATGAGAAGGTTTAATTTGGCTTGAACTTGGCTGAAAGCGGAGAGACGTGGAAACAGGAAGTCCGTCTTCCGCAGCCATTGAACTTGAAAAAAAGCAACCTAAGGCGGAGGAGTGGAGGCTGAAAGAAAGAGATTTTAAATTCTGCACAGCCAAGCATCTATGGAACTTACAATTTAAAGTAAAACCAGTAAGCTAAAGATTTGAACTTTTTATTTGTATTTGACTTTCCCCCCTTTTATTGGATTACAAATTGGAAGGTGAAACCCAGAGTCAGGACTGCTTGAGCACTGTAAGAGTGAGCTGTCAGTGTTGTGTTGGATACTGTATATTAGAACTTGCAACAATCTGAGGGTATTGAGACCTTTTAAATTTGAAACATTCTTTTTGGAGACAAATAAGCACTGTCTGCAACAAAGTGATTACTTTTAAACTCTGCTTAATACTTATATTGGAAGGTTCTGGGACATTAAATTAGACTCTGAAAGACATCTTAAGCTCCCTCTAGAGGATTGGATTAAAACAGTGACTTTACAAATACATTTACTTTCGATTCCCTTGTTGTTTGCTTGCTCTGGGCCTTTCTATTCCTGTGGGAAAAACTCAGTGTGACCTTGACTGATAGATAACATTGGAATGAGTGGTACAAGAAGAAGAGGAAGAGTTAGACAAACAACCTTAACAACTCTAACCTCAGCCTCGCAGACACGTAGATCATCTGTGCCTACTTTGCCCTCAGAAGTACAACTGGAAGAAGCTGCTTTGCCACAGGCAAAAGAGGGAGAGGGTGAAGCAGAGCAGTTACAATTGGAAGATATGGCCTCAGGAGCATCTGTTTCTGTTCTAGAAAAATTTTTTGAAAAATTGGAAGCTTTGGACAAGAAAGTAGATGCGCAATCAGCAAAGATTGATAAAAATACAGATTGTCTAAACAAATTAACTACACAGGTGGGACAGAATACACAAGCAATTGGACAGTTAACGGAGGCCTCAGTAGAAAATCGAAAATTGGCTGAGGATACCAGACAAAAATTGGAAAATTTAGAGCAAGAGGTAAGACCACTCACTAAACAAGTTGGGGAACATCAGACTTATCTTTCTATGATAGAACTGCGAAATCGTGAGAATAATTTGAGGATTAGATCATTACAAGAGGCAGAAGAAGGAAATCTAACTGAGTTTTTGACCAAAGAACTTTCCAAGTTCTGGAATTTGGAAGAAAAGGACTTTAAAATTGTGTCAGCTTTCAGACTTGGAAGATTTATAAAGAAGGAGAGGCCCAGGGATTGTTTGATTACATTGAGATCGAAGGAGGAAAGGGATAAGATTTTGGGTCTACATTACGAAAAGTCACTGGAGGTTTTGGATAGAAGAATTGAGATATATAAAGATATTCCAAGACAACTGTTGGATCTCAGAGCCGCCTACTCTGAACTTGCTAAATTATTAAGGAGCAACGCAATTCCATTCAGGTGGGAATTTCCCCAAGGATTATCTTTTACCTTTAGAGCGAGAAAGGTCAAAATTAGAACATTGGAAGAGAGAGATAAATTTTTGGCTACATACGGAGAGGACCTACAAAAAGGAATTGAACTACCTTCTGGGCCTGGGGCAAAGCCAGCATTAATACCTGCACCTGGGGAACCTGAAGACTCAGAGAAGACACCACCCCGGGAGAAATAACCAGATAGATCCAGGATGTCTCTGCAACTGTTGAGCTGGAATATTAATGGTTGTAACATTCCGGAGAAAAGGAAGAAAATATTTCATATATTAAAAAAAGAACAATTGGACATTATCTGTTTACAAGAAACACATGTGACGAGGCTCCACAGAAAAGTGCTAATAAATAAAAGATTGGGCCAGGAATTCATTTCGTCGGACAAAGTGAAGAAGAGAGGAGTGGTGATATATGCAAAAGAGAGCCTGTCACCTAAATTTCTATTTAAAGATGAACATGGAAGGATTTTGGCTATTGAGATACAATATCAAGGAGAGAAACTGCTGATATTAGGAATCTATGCACCCAATGAAGGGAAATCGGAATTTTACAAGAAGTTGCAGGGGACAATGCTGGATCATCTGGATTACAACAACATCATAATGATGGGAGATATGAACGGGGTCGTATCAACTAACATGGACAAGTCGCAAAGTCAAAATGTCACAAAAGATGGCAGACTACCTAAAACCTTTTTTTGAAATGACTGACAATATGGACTTGATTGACATTTGGAGAACAAAGAACCCACTAGGTAGAGAAGGAACATTCTTTTCTGAAGCCCAACTGACCTGGACAAGAATCGACCAAATATGGATTTCTAGGGGCCTGGCACCTAGGGTTAGAAAAGTGGAAATCTGCCCAAAGACCTGCTCTGACCACAACGCAGTAAAGATGGATATGACACTACTACCAACTGGATCCTTTAGATGGAAGATGAATGACAATTTGTTTAGAGATCAGGAAACTACCAAGAAGGCCCAAAAAGTTTTGAAAGACTATTTCGAGATAAACATGAATAATTCGGTGGAAAAAGAATTGTCTGGGACGCAAGCAAAGCTGTCATGAGGGGATTCTTGATACAACAGAATGTAGTAAGGAAAAAACACAAAATGAGAAAAAAGACAAGATCTTGGATAAAATAAAAGAATTAGAGAAGAAATTAAGAGTAAATCCAAAGTCACAGCCAACTCTGAGAGAAATTAAACTGTATCAAACACAATATTCTAAATTGATAAATCAGGAAATTGAATGGAAGATTAAATTAATGAAACAAAAACGTTTGAGTCGGCGAATAAATGTGGAAAACTGCTATCTTGGCAGTTGAAGAGAAGACAAAGATTAAATACGGTTACAAATTTAGAGGTTGATGGAAGAAACATTCAGAATCCAGTGGACATTAGAAAGTGTTTCCAGAGATATTTTAAAAAACTATATACTCAAGGGCCGCAAGACGAAGTCGAGATTAAACAATTTTTGGCAAAAATGGATTATCTAAACTGTCACAAGAAAATAGGACAACCCTGAACTCTAAAATAACACGACAGGAGATTGAACAAGCTATTCAGAACATGCAACTTGGCAAATCTCCAGGGCCAGACGGGCTGACCTCCAAGTATTATAAGACACTAAAAGACTATTTGATACAACCCTTGATGGAGGTTAGCAATGAAATTATGGAGGGGAAGAGGGCACCGGATTCGTGGAAGGAAGCCTTTATCACATTGATACCAAAGTCAGAAGCTGAAAAGACACAACTGAAGAACTACCGTCCCATCTCCCTTTTAAATGTGGATTACAAAATATTTGCAGATATTTTGGCAAGTAGATTTAAAAAGTTTTAAATGAAGTAATTCATAAGGACCAGGCCGGTTTTCTCCCAGGTAGACATCTGTTTGCTAACACAAGGAACATTATTGACATCTTGGAACTTCTCCAAACTGACATAAATACAAAAGCAGTTTTAATTTTTATAGATGCGGAGAAGGCCTTTGATAATATTTCTTGGAAATTTATGATGGGAAATTTAAAAGAGATGGGAGTGGGACGGGGTTTTGAGAATGGGATTGAGGCGATATATTCAGAACAGAAAGCTAAACTGATAGTTAATAATGTGGTTACAGAAGAGTTCAAAATTGAAAAAGGGACACGACAAGGCTGCCCTATCCCCCTTTGTTATTTATTTCGGTTCTGGAAGTGCTATTGAACATGATTAGAGGGGACCAGTTGGTGGAAGGAATTCAGGTTGGCCAGAAACAATATAAACTAAAAGCTTTTGCAGATGACCTGGTTTTGACCTTGCAGAAGCCAGAGCCTAGTACGAAAAGAGTATTACAATTGATTAATGACTTTGGTCGGGTGGCGGGATTTAAATTAAATAAACAGAAAACCAAGGTTTTGGGAAAAAATTTGACTGAGACAGAGTCAGAACGGTTTCAGAATGAGACGGAACTTAATGTGGTTAAAAAGTAAAATACCTAGGGGTAAACATAACAGCAAAAATCTAAGTCTATTTAAGGATAATTATGAAAAATGTTGGACAGAAATTAAGAGAGACTTAGACAGTTGGTCAAAATTGAAACTTTCTTTGTTAGGCCGAATTGCTGCGATTAAGATGAATGTATTGCCAAGAATGTTGTTTTTATTTCAAACACTTCAGGTTTTGGACAAAATGGAGTGCTTTCAGAAGTGGCAGAGAGACATTTCGAAGTTTGTCTGGCAGGGCAAAAGCCCAGAATTAAGTTTAAGATACTAACTGATGCAAAACAAAGAGGGGCTTTGCCCTGCCGGACTTAAAGTTGTATTACGAAGCCGCAGCGTTCTGCTGGCTAAAAGATTGGCTACTTCTTGAAGACACTGATGTGTTAGATTTGGAAGGGTTTAACAATGTTTTTGGATGGCATGCATATTTATGGTATGACAAAGTTAAAGCAAATAAGGCCTTTAAGAACCATATTGTTAGAAAATCACTGTTTAATGTCTGGACAAAATATAAAGACTTGCTGGAAAATAAAACACCAAGGTGGCTTTCACCCTTGGAAGCCAAGGCCCGAAAAAGACCCAATATGGAGGCCAAATGGCCAAAATATTGGGAAATACTAGAAAAAGATGGAGACAATTGGAAATTGCAGAGTTTGGAGAAAATGAAAGACAAAGTGCGAGATTGGTTACATTACGCTCAGATTAAGGAAGTTTTTAAAAATGATAAGAAACTAGGGTTCCAGGTGGAGAAATCGAAATTAGAAACAGAATTGTTAGAACCAAAGACTAAGATACTTTCAAGGATGTATAACTTGCTGTTGGAATGGAATACACAAGATGAAATGGTTAAATCGGCTATGATAAGGTGGGCACAGGATATTGGGTATAATATTATGTTTGAGGACTGGGAAAGGCTGTGGAGTAACGGACTGAAATTCACTGCATGCAATGCTTTGAAAGAAAATGTAATGAAAATGATTTATAGATGGTATATGACCCCAGTCAAACTTGCAAAAATTTACCACCTGTCTGATAACAAGTGTTGGAAATGTAAAGAGTGTGAAGGAACGTTCTTTCACCTCTGGTGGACCTGCCCTAAAGTGAAGGCATTCTGGGAAATGATTTATAATGAACTGAAAAAGGTATTTAAATATACCTTCACTAAGAAACCAGAGGCTTTCCTTTTGGGTATTGTCAGCCAAGGGGTGGCAAAGAAGGACCAAACATTTTTTATGTATGCAACAACAGCAGCAAGGATACTACTCGCAAAACATTGGAAAACTCAAGATCTACCCACACTGGAAGAATGGCAGATGCAACTGATAGACTATATGCAACTGGCTGAAATGACTGGCAGAATCCGTGACCTGGGAGAAGAGAGAATCGAGGAGGATTGGAAGAAATTTAAGAACTACCTGCAAAAACATTGTGATTTGATTGAATGCTGAATAAGATGCTTGTCTAAATAACTGAGCACCACTTAACTTAGAAGTTTTTTAAGAAAATAAGAAAAATTGTGAAAGTTTAACTCTTTATGAGAACTATAAGATTATGAAATATCGAAGAGACATAAGAATTTAAATAAGATGATAAATTGCTGACAAAATGTTATAATGATGAAGGTGGGAGCGGGAGATGTGAGGAAGTCCAAAGAAAATGTGAAATTACGTTAAGACGAATGTTATATTGTTTGTTACATTTATTCCTATTGTAAAATCCAATAAATTGCTTTAAAAAAAAAAAAAAAAAAAATATTTGTGGGTTAGCAGAGTCTGTAACCTGAAGCGTATGTAACCTGAAGCGTATGTAACCTGAGGTACCACTGTACAGTAATGCACGATCTCTAGTGAGTATCCATCGCTTCACCCATTAAGGTACTAGAAGATGGAGAAATTTCCATCCAGATGTTGACAAATGAAGCATCGACACTGAATCCTTCAACTGGGGATGGCAAGGAGTGTTTTTGTTAAACCATCTGTAGAAGTACACAGGCTTGGGTCTTACAACTCTATGATAAAACCCACAAAGCTTTTACAGCTGTCTTAGAAACCTCAACATGAGAACCAGCAGAGGTATCGCCAGCTAAAGAGCTCCTTTATAATCAGAAGAGAATAGAGAATTTGGGGAGTGAGGTTATTTGATGTATAAAAGAAGATTTAGCTTAAACTTCTTATTCTTCCCTAATCACCAGTAGTAGTTGGAAGGAAACATACTTGGTGCAGTGTTTCTAAAATGAAAGTAAGGATTCATTCTCCTTCTACTTTCAGCTGTAACAGCTTTAGCTGAGCAGTATTATTTTTTTAAATCCCCAAGCAGAATTTTGTCTGAATCAAGTTGCCATATGACTAATCATGTGAAAGAACTAGTAGCCATATCAGCTGAAGGACTGACGGACTGTTTTGCTCCAGGGATTATCTCCACCAACAACTGTTCCACCTGGCTGTATCAGAGAGAAAGGTTGTTGCAGATATTAATATTGCTCAGTTTGAAGCGACTGGAAGCATTTACTCCTTTTGGAAATGAATAATTCTCCAGGCCCATAAAAGCATTATTCAAACTTTTACTGGCAGAACTCATTGAAACAAAACATAAGCATCAAAGACACAACCAAAATATCTATACAATGTCTTGTGCTGCCCAGCACAGGCTCAGCGTCATCTTAGAAACAAGATTCCAAAAATCTAAACTGTGTCACTACTACCCCATTCCAGCCACCATTGGCCTTAGGCTATGCAGCTCATTGTTGTCTCTCTAGCTTTCAGAGAGACTAACAGCTGCCACCCTTTCAAGATGGTGAATTCGCAACTCAATACCTTCATCACCGGGGATGCGGGTGGCGCTGAGGCTGGGGCTTGCAGATCGGAAGGTCGGCTGTTCGAATCCCCGCGACGGGGTGAGCTCCCGTTGCTTGGTCCCAGCTCCTGCCAACCTAGCAGTTCGAAAGCACATCAAAGTGCAAGTAGATAAATAGGTACCACTCCGGCGGGAAGGTAAACGGTGTTTCCGTGTGCTGCTCTGGTTTGCCAGAAGCGGCTTAGTCATGCTGGCTACATGACCTGGAAAAACTGTCTGCGGACAAACACCGGCTCCCTCAATGTTAAATGTTTGCCACTGTGGCCATTCTGTAGGATGGCTCATATCGAAGTCTGGTGGTGGCCGACTATGACTGGTAGCCATCCTCGGATCTGTGCTATTGTGGGTGGTTGCGAAGTCTCGTTTCCAGGACTATTTGCTGAATCCAGCATGGCGGTGAGGTCACGCTTACTGCGAGGCGGCAGGCGGCGGTGCTGTGGTGCGGTCTTGGGTCTCTGAAAGCCGGCGGGAGCTCATCTATCCCATCCTCGTCACCAACGTTAAATGTTCGGAAAAAGTCAGCAGCCCAAGGCAGTATAAGTTCCTCAGCTAAGTTTATTCAACATTTGTCAGTGACAACAGCTCACTCATTGGAACACAAGAATCAAACTGACAGAACAACACAATAATAATCCCAGGCATGAACTGACTGTTGATAGTTGACAGTTAAAAGGGCATGTGTTTACTTCCTTTAGAACATTCGTCTACCAACGCTTCTATGATTGGTTAGAACGCGCCTTGTAACATAAAATGTGATAAACCCAATACCTAACACTCGACCTGTAAAGCGTGATGAGCGCTGCAACCCCAGAGTCTTTCGTGACTGGACTTAACTGTCAGGGGTCCTTTACTGTTACCTTTTTACCTTCATCACATGATCAAAGGTTTACTCTCAGCACAGAGAAGAAAAACTAACCAACAGGTAATCTATATTTATTTATTTATTTATTTATTTATTTATTTATTTATTTATTTCCCGCCCATCTGGCTGGGTTTCCCCAGCCACTCTGGGTGGCTTCCAACAAAATATTAAAAAAACAATAAAACACCAGACACTAAAACTTCCCTAAACAGGGCTGCCTTCAGGTGTCTTCTAAAAGGCAGTTGTTTATTTCCTTGACATCTGATGGGAGGATTATTTTCACATTTTCTACCTTCCTTCAACTAGTTCAACTTTGGAGATTCGCAAGTGCTATACAAGTTTTATTACTTTAGGGAAGAATGGCTGTCAGACTACTTAAAGAAATATTTTCTTTGGCGATCACTCGTAGCCGAGTAAGATTGTCTTCCATAAATGCTAGTTATAGCTCAGTGAGATCTTCTTGCTTTCAATATAGCCTCATGGAAAATCCCCATGAGGATTCACCAATACACATTTAGACATTCTCATTTCACTTCAATTAAACCATTATACTTAACAAAGGTGAGACAGCAGCCTAACTAGGACCTACTGCCACTGTCTCATGGAGTGGCCAGCATACCTTATTTTGACTATTTCCCTTTTCCCTTCCTGTCATTTCTGCCCTTTTCATATTGCCTAATTAAATGGCTATGTAAGTTTAGTCGTTCTTTTAAAGCGTGAAGTGCGTTGGTAGAAAGGCGCAGGAAATAAATAAGGGCTGGAACTACTGGATTCACGAGAAGCCTCTGAATATAAATGCCTTGCATTTGGGAAGTTAATTAACAGAGTTGTGGGAAATTACTGCTAGAAACCCAGAAGGATATAGATGCAGCTAGCTTTAATTTGTGTGATAATATTAAAACATAAGTTAGATCTAATGAAACTGTTGCAGTTGGGAAACATATCCATTGTTTGCCGTGGTATCATACAACTCACATTTCCTCAGTGCAAGGAGATAGACTAGAGCAGCGGTCAGCAAGCTTTTTCAGCAGGGGGCCGGTCCACTGTCCCTCAGACCTTGTGGGGGGCTGGACTATTTTTTATCGGGGGGGGGGGAGAACAAATTCCTATGCCCCACAAATAACCCAGAGAGCATTGTTGGCTGCCCACTCTCTACCTTAGAGCAGATTTATGCCACAAGGTGCCATAGGAAGGCACTGGACATAGTAAAAGATCCATCGCATCCTGGTCACTGTCTCTTCGAGCTCTTGCCGTCGGGACGGAGATACAGGACGATGAAGACAAGAACGAGCCGTCTTAAGAACAGCTTCTTCTCCAGAGCGATCTCGGCCCTGAATGGGAAGCCCGGACTTTGAAAGTCATCTAATCTCCCTTGCTGTATTATACTGTATTGATTAATTAGTGTTTTTATGGAGCAGTCAAGTAATTTCGTTGTCCCCGAAGGGGGCAATGACAATAAAGATATTATTATTATTATTATTATTATTATTATTATTATTAAATAAAAGCACACATTCTACTCATGTAAAAACACCAGGCAGGCCCCACAAATAACCCAGAGATGCATTTTAAATAAAAGGACACATTCTACTCATGTAAAAACACGCTGATTCCTGGACCGTCCGCGGGCCGGGTTTAGAAGGCGATTGGGCCGGATCCAGCCCATGGACTAGAGCCTTCAAGCTGTTGTTATATTTTTAAAAAACTGCTCCTTTTCCCTTATGGGATATTCCACAGCCCATATGGAGTCCTTAAGTGGTAGGAGAAATAAATATTGGTTGGGGAAATAACAGCCAGGATTAATTGAAAAGCAAAGCATCTAGTAAGCCTGATCTTTATTCAAGGAACTGTTGCAACAGGGTCCCCACTAACCACACGCAGGAGGGAGTGAACAATGGTGCTCACCCTGTAGCCCAAGACCACTACCCCCTTAAACATTATACATACATCACAGAAGGAGGTGGTCTACAACAAAAGGCGGTCTACAGCAGAAATCAGGATACCTGATAATGGTCACTGATTGCATTACCCAGGCAGCCTGGCTATTCTTTTGCGATAGTTAATATTTTAGTTCCTGAATCCAGGTCCCAGGTCCACCCTATTCATATACAAATACACCCTTAAGGCAGGATTTGTATTGTTTAAGAAAGCCAGGGAGTGGGAGGAGGGGGAGTCAATGCTCAGTATGAGGAAAGTTGTATGTGATGCTATGATTTGATATGAATGTGACAAAGGAAAAACATGAAAATTTAATAAAAATTATATTTAAAAATTTAATTTAAAAAAGACAGGATTTGTAAGTGAAAAGACATTTGCCTCCCCTACTGCAGAGGAATATTTGGGAGAGTCAAAATGGCTTCAGGATTGCTCTCCCGTACTATTTCAGACACATGGTCCATATATTTAGATATGTGTGCATTTATGAATATTTATTCTATATTTGAGACCTTAAAATTCTTATAACACTGTAAACCCCTGAATTTTTGACTCCCCTAACTTCAGTTCCCAGGGAAAGCGCAGGCTGAGCTCTCCTCTTCTCATCTGCAACAATGTAGGAGAAATCAGCCTTGTGCACAGATACGAATATGCTCTGCCGATGCGCAACTCTGACTCCACATCACTGGCTAGAGGTAGAGAAGTATGCCAAGCCATGGGGTGCTGCAGTGCACATTATGGAGAGGAGAAACTCAATGCTCTGCTGCCCTCAGATCTGGCAAGGTATCAGACTGAAGCTCTCCAGGTATGTGAGAATCCTGGCTTACTTCCAGCCAGGCAGAGTTTGAATTGCAGCTGTAGATAAAGGCGCTTGGAACTGACTGTCTCAGAGGAGCTATCACCAGAGTGAGGCCTTTGGAAAGTGAGGCCTTTGGAGAGCATTCCAGCAGAAAGCGATGTGAGTCACACAGCTACCCTTCAACATTTCTCTGATGGAAATAGGAATGTCCCATTCCATAATGAATTTTTTTACTATTTATACCCCACACATCTGACTGGGTTGCCCCAGCCACTCTGGACAGCTTCTAACATAATAAATCGTGTCCTCCCTAAAAGAGGGCACATGTTGCGGTGAGACCTGGAGTCTGGTTGTGGGTGGGTTTGATTGGTTAGCCACTACACTCGATTGGTAGGTTCCTTGATGTTGGGTCCAACACTATAAATCAGGGGAATCTGTAGCCTGCCAGATATTGTTTGACATCTGTTCCCACCAGCCTGATCCATGATGACCAATGGTCAGGGGTGATGTCATCAAAAAACACCTGGAGGGTCTCAGGTTCTCCAACACTGGCCGAAACATACCTGAAGAGCCAGCCTCTGATGTGCAGGAAAAAGGATTTGCAATGGCAAACATCTCTCCTTGCTAAGTTGTATTTTTATGTGTGTACAGGCACTGCCCATTCGAAGGCAAATAGTGCCTGGAACGCGGATGGCGCTGTGGGTAAAACCTCAGCGCCTAGGACTTGCCGATCGCATGGTTGGCAGTTCGAATCCCCACAGCGGGGTGCGCTCCCGTCGTTCAGTCCCAGCGCCTGCCAACCTAGCAGTTTGAAAGCACCTCCGGGTGCAAGTAGATAAATAGGGACCGCGGACCAGCGGGAAGGTAAACGGCGTTCCGTGTGCTGCGCTGGCTCGCCAGATGCAGCTTGTCACGCTGGCCACGTGACCCGGAAGTGTCTGCGGACAGCGCTGGCTCCCGGCCTATAGAGTGAGATGAGCGCACAACCCTAGAGTCTGGCAAGACTGGCCCGTACGGGCAGGGGTACCTTTACCTTTACCTTTAGTGCCTGGAAATATAGCAGATAGAAGCTGGATGAGAAACATCAAATGAAGCTTATTGATTTTTTTTCTTCCCCTGTGCCTTGATGGTGTGCATCCGAGAGGAAGGAAGCTTCATTTAAACACTTTGGCACTCCAGTAATTAAAGGAATCTTGAGACACTTGACGGAGCAAGCTGTAGATTATTCTTTTTGTGTGTTTTCGGGCGACGGTGAGTAGCTTTCCTCAAACTTGGCTGATTTAGTGTAATGAAAGAGAAAAAATAAAAATGGAAATGGAACAAAGGGCACCACTCTTGTACATTCAACAATGCAGCCGGTTCCTCATTTGATGAATGCAAATATTGCTCTGCATATATTTCCCCTCCCCCCCCAATCCTTGAGAAAAGGGTAGATCAATTTTTCTCTCTCCTCTGATACGAAGGATAGTTCTCTCAGAGTGCTTCTTGGAGCCCAGACATTTAGATTCTGGTATCTATCATGCCTATTCCTCTTCTCTCTCTTTTTCCAGAAAGGAAAATAAATCCACAGAGCAGGATATAAGGGAGAAACTGACTTTGTTTATCTAACGTGCAATGGGTATTTAGAAGTGCTATTGCATTGAAATGATTTCCCCCCTTCCCTTTTTTTGGCTTTCTCTATTCCTATAGTGTTAAAAACGGCAGTTCCATTGTCTCATTCCTCCTGTCAGGTCTTGCTGGTGTGATAGGGCAGGCATCAAAGCAATGCCTCAGAATTTGGGGGCTTTTCTCAGTAGATGGCGTTCTTCCCTCAAAGTCTGCATTCCAGTCAATTACCCAGCATGGGGCTTGGGGAGATGGATCTGCAGGAGATGTTGGCTCCCTGAGGAAAAGTATAAACAAGGTTTCTGAATGCTTGTAGCTCTTTTTTGTTTTTTTAAAGCCACAGTGCCTTCTCTCTCACTCATAGGTTTTCCCCACTTTATGATTCTTTTAATGCATGGGTAGGCAAACTAAGGCTGGATCAGGCCCAATTGCCTTCTAAATCCGGCCTGCAGACAGTCCGAGAATCAGTGTGTTTTTACATGAGTAGAATGTGTCCCTAAATAAAAATGCATCTCTGGGTTATTTGTGGGGCCTGCAGTAGAATGTGCGCTTTTATTTAAAATGCATCTCTGGGTTATTTGTGGGGCATAGGAATTCGTTTTTTCCTTCAAAATATAGTCTGGCCCCCCCACAAGGTCTGAGGGACAGTGGACCGGCCCCCTGCTGAAAAAGTTTGTTGACCCCTGTTTTAATGCTTCCTTTATTCCCATAGTTCTTTTAAGGGTGCTGTACATTGTAGCTATGTGAGGGGTATACTAACAGTTCCCAGGATCCTGTGTGTGTGTGCGCGCACACTCTAAATGTCTAGCGTGCACACAACCTTCCTTTTGGCAAACAGCATTTGGATATAATTTTTCTGTTGGGTTTACACTTGGTGAGTGGTCAAGTCATATTCAAAGTAGAACCGTTGAAATTAATGGACTTAAATTAGCCACTACAGTGGTACCTCGGGTTACATATGCTTCAGGTTACAGACGCTTCAGGTTACAGACTCCGCTAACCCAGAAATAGTACCTCAGGTTAATAACTTTGCTTCAGGATGAGAACAGAAATCATGCGGCGGCAGCAGGAGGCCCCATTAGCTAAAGTGGTACCTCAGGTTAAGAACAGTTTCAGGTTAAGAACGGACCTCCAGAACAAATTAAGTTCTTAACCTGAGGTACCACTGTACTAACTTGAGTTCATTGATTTCAAAGGCTGTATGCCTTAATCAGATAGCACCCTTAATTTGCAAAATCCATTCGTGGTATAATATTTACCCTTTCAACACCCCCTGCAAGGCTGACCAGAGATATACATAGTTATCTTAAACATGCTAAATTGTGTATCAACTTCCTCCCATAGCTGTCAAGTGTCCCTTATTTGAAGGGACAGTCCCTTATTCCAGCGCCATGTCCCGCTGCTGTCCCTTATTGATGGATGTCCCTTAAATGTCCCTTAAATGATGTCCCTTAAATATCAAAGGAAGCAGCTCCTCTCCCTCCCTCCCTGCTGGCCAGGGAGGAGGGAGGCTCCAACTGTGTTGCTTGGCTGTGTTGCTCACCCAATAAGAAGTCTAAGAATGACTGGGGGGTGGAGCTTGAATGCCTTGTGTGTGGCTAGTTAATGCAAGCTGAGGGGTTTTTTGAATGCTGGACGCCATTTTGTTGCACGTGCTGCTGCAAACTTTGCAGTGCAAAGCCAGGCTGGGGAGCCATCTTAAGTTGAGGCTGCGTAGGCCTTGTGGTGCATGTGATTCAGATTCTATTCAGTTGAACCTCTGGTTGCAAAGTTGGTTGGACGGTGTTCTCGAAGCTACCAGCATGAGTTTGACCAGACTGCAGGAGGACAGGAAGACTGGAGTGCCTGGAACAGGTGAGGCTGCAGGTCCCTTATTTTGGCTGCTGGTCCCTTATTTTCAAGGCTGCTGGTCCCTTATTTTCAAGGCTGCTGGTCCCTTATTTTCAAATCTGTAAGTTGACAGCTATGCTTCCTCCCCACAAGAATTCAGGTAACTGTACTTTGGTGAGCTGTACTCCTTGGAGAACTACCCTTCCCAATGTTCTCTGGGAAATATAATATAATAATAATTTATTATTTCTACCCCAACCATCTAGCTGGGTTTCCCCAGTTACTTTGGGTGGCTCCCAACAGTATATTAAAAACACAATAAAACATCAAACATTAAAAACTTCCCTAAACAGGGCTGCCTTCAGATGTCTTCTAAAAGTCAGATAGTTGTTTATTTCCTTGACATCTGGTGGGAGGGTGTTCCACAGGGCGGGCGCCACCACCGAGAAGGCCCTCTGCTTGGTACCCTGTAACCTCACTTCTCGCAGTTAGGGAACCGCCAGAAGGCCCTCGGAGCTGGACCTCAGTGTCTGGGCTGAACGATGGGGGTGCAGACGCTCCTTCAGGTATACTGGGGTGAGGCCATTTAGGGCTTTCAAGGTCAGCACCAACACTTTGAATTGCATTCAGAAACGTATGTAAGTTACTATTAAAGGCAGTACCTTTTTTGGTTAAAAAAAACCCCTGAGTAGCTTCTGATACTCATGTCTTCACAAAAGTGCTGTGGGTGCCAGCACAAAATGGCTGCCATGTACAGCAAAAAGAGGTGACAGTACTGGTGAATATAATCATACAAAAAAGCACTGATTAAAGCAGTTTAAGTCTGTAGCATTGATATACGCAGTGCTGTGTTTAAGGGTTCATGACAAAGGACAAAACTGGACTGAGATCATCTAGAGCAGAGCTTTCCAAACTTTTCAAGATGGTGACACACTTTTTGGACATGCATCATTTCGCGACACAGTAGCTCAATTTTGCATCATTTTGTGACACGGCAATTCAGTTTTAATAGCAGATCGGAGGTTAACCTAACCTTGTCCAGCGACACACTAACATGTTGTGATACACAGTTTGGAAAGTTCTGATCTAGAGGCATACCCAATATTGTGTGCACTAGATCATGCTGGTCCAATTTTTGCACTCAAACCCTTCTCTGGTGTCTGTGTGGAGTTTTATGTGGGTATGGAAGAAAATGTGGAAAAACAGAGCACTGTAAATGTAGATGGAGCATTTCCTTCTCCTTTAACTTGCCTTTGCTTCTGTGCAGAGTTACACTTAAACAAAGGTTATTTCTAGATTTTAAGAATTATTATTATGCCGATTTATAGACCACTTCACAGCAGAAAGCCACTGAATCAGTGTGCATGATAAAAGCAGAATAAAACACAGGTGCGAGTTCTAAAAACAATAAAACCATTCATACAAACTCTAAAAAGAACAAAGCAATTCCATCAGATATAAAATTGATCTTCCACAAATGACTAGGTTGTGTCTTTAGTAGGCTTCTAAACATCATACTAGATGCATGTCTGATTTGGACTAGCAATTGATTCTAGAGAGCTGGAGCAACAACACTAATTTTTAAAAATATATTTATATAATTCATTTTTATATTAAAATAGTTATCTTTCTAGTCCCCCCCCCCCCCAGTTCATTTGTCTCTTTTTAAGGCACTGTGTGTAAAAAAAAAAAAAGCTGTAGCCTTATTTGGTTGAGCTGAATTTTTTCCACTTCTCCCTTTTGGGTACAAAATATTTATTGTAACTGAGTAAGACTATGCATTGTATGACTATACCTCCTTTTTAAAAAAAAGTCCCATTGTTTCTTCTAGTAGTTACTGTTCAATACCATTTATTCTGTAGCTATTTCTCTTTTGCCTTCTTTTGGGATTAGTTGCAAATTATTTTACCTAATAAATGACCAAATAGAATGAAGTCATATAGAATGTAGCCAATCAGATCCAGCTTGGTGATGACATCACTGAGGGCAAGGTAACAGGGAAGTGAATATTTTCTCAAGGAGAAAGAATTGAAAAAAAGAGACATTTGCAACAGAAGAAAATGTTGTTAAAAATGATGAATAAATCCCAGTTTGCACAGAACATATTCACATAGATTACAATTCATCTAGCCAATAAACAATTTTCTCTTTATTTGGAGAGACCAATACAGTTACGATTACGTTGTCTAATGTGAGCCATTTTGAAATACACTAGCACAATAAATTATTGAATTATGGTGTTGGAGGAGACCCTTGAGAGTCCCATGGACTGCAAGAAGATCAAACCTGTCCATTCTGAAGGAAATCAGCCCTGAGTGCTCACTGGAAGGACAGATCCTGAAGCTGAGGCTCCAGTACTTTGGCCACCTCATGAGAAGAGAAGACTCCTTGGAAAAGACCCTGATGTTGGGAAAGATGGAGGGCACAAGGAGAAGGGGACGACAGAGGATGAGATGGTTGGACTGTGTTCTCAAAGCTACCAATATGCGTTTGACCAAACTGAGGGAAGCAGTGGAAGACAGGAGTGCCTGGCATGCTCTGGTCCATGGGGTCACGAAGAGTCAGACACAACTAAACGACTAAACAACAACAACAAAAGCACAATAAAATCTTCTCAGCTAATATACAGCCCGGTTAAATTTTGCAAGGCACAGTGGACATCGTCCACTCCACACCCTCAAGTAAACACTCTACCCATTTGATTGGGATTTCTCCCCCTCCTCTCCCCTCATATTCCAAAGTAATTCATGTTAAGTTGTGGGTGAACATATCAGACGATATAGCGATTCTTCAAACAGCTCTTGTTTATTCACAGGCCAGGACAGAACTGAACTGAAGGGTTCAGTCAGCCTGCTTATATAGAGCTCCAATACAACGTAATTGTAACAATTTTCTAAAACTATCCAATCACTGAACGTCACTTTCGATCCCTTATTTGCAAAACTATCTACAGTATCCCCCTGCTGGCCCAGGGTGAAAACTTCAGTACATAACAGTTCTGTAATCTTATCATTTCCGTTCCTTTCTGCATCCTTCCAAAACTTTGTCACATTGCAGAGCCAACACTGGGAAGATCAACTCAAATAGCCAAGCAGTGTGGGAGAAAAACTGTGCAGGCGCTTCAGATATTATGTAGAAGCAGGAGACTGAAGAAAAGTGCAAATGACTCAGGTGTCCTCTTTTTGTACTTAAAAAAAAATCATTTGTTCTTGCAAATCACCAGTGGTTTTTGAGTCATTAAATGGACTAATTAATTTGGGCATTCCGTGATAGGTTGACTGCATTGCAGAATGCATTTTGTCATAGAAGACTTGTAACGGATAAATGGTGCTTGGGTTTGGGGGACCTTTCCATAATATCCAGCAATGATCTTACGTAAATAAAAGCCGAACTGCATTTTTTGAAGTCTTGTGTGCCCCCTGAATTTGGCATTCAAAATCAGATGAGCAAATGCACAACAACAGAAAGTTCTGAAGATGGAAAGAGAAACTCTGCTTACATAATTATCTGATACCTTCGATTCAGTTGGGACAGACTGGATGCAGGTTTGAGGAGACCCTTCTGTGCTGCTAAGACCTGACACATTTACTTGCTGATGTCAGGCAGTCATCTAAAATTTCCCCAGTGTTCCCAAGGGAGCATTGCTATGGGAAACAAAACTGGTGGCTCCCAAAATCAGCTATCCAATGCTGATTTCGAGCACTGGGATTTTTAAAGGGGGGGCAGTGGCGGAGGAACCCTCTCTGGCACTTGGGGCGGGACGCTGAGGGGTGGGGCAAACTGCCCGGTGGTACACGCACGTCGTCTGTATGGACTGCGAACATGCAGCATCCTGTACAGACTGCGCATGTGCGGCATCCTATACAGACTGCGCATGCACGGCATCCCTTACGAATGCCTGTATGGACTGCACGCGAGAGTGGCAGCCTGTACAGATGCCACATGAGTGGCGCCCGTACTGACTGTGCATGCCCTTGGCCGCTCTACAGCTTGGGGGAGGCAGGGGCCATCTTGTCCTCCCCTCAGAGTGGCACCCGGGGTGGCCTGCCCCATCTGCCCCCCCACTTTGTATGCCCCTGGAGGGGGGGCAGGAGGACAAGCATCAAGGATAGGTCCCAGGCTAGTGCCTGAGATTCCCCCATGCTGGCAGTGAGCTGAATTTTGCACACAATTTGCCCTCGTGCTAAGTTCGGGCACAGCACTTCTCACTTGTAATCTGGTTAGGTTTACTCCTCCCATCAGGAATTGAAATCCAGAGGATTCTCCTTTCCTTTAGAGTGGATGTGAGTATGTGAAACCAGTTCAAGAAATTGACCATTCCTGCATTTGGAGGCAGAAATCTTATTTCACTGAAGCTGGTCCACAAAGTGGCTTCTGGAATCCAAACTATGACATTTGTCTTAGCAGTGGGAGCCTGCAATGGCTTGAACACGGACTTTTCCCAGGAGCAATGAAGGTGCATGCTTTGAAGAACTTTTCAAAATTGCTCTGAGCCCGGCTTCGGCTGGGGTAGGCGGGGTATAAATAAATTTTTATTAATTAATTAATTTATTATTATTATTATTATTATTATTATTATTATTATTATTATTCTACCCCGGTGCATTTTTGGTAACATATGTTGGAAAAAGTGCAGAATACTTGCATTCTGCTTCACGGATTGGTTTTTATATATACTGGATTATTCAAATGCTACTCCTAGTTTCCCAAAAGCTTTGCTGGGTAGTTGCAATAGCTGAGATCAGGGTTTACTCAGTCATTGGAATGAGTGCAGGCAGGCTTTCTGTTTAAGATTTTCGCTGTCCCACGCTGCGTACCTTACGCAGCCCTGTGTTTAGAGGGAGGCCAACATAAGCTAGAGACAGTTGCCTGGATGAGTTTTCTTTTATGCTGGCTAAACATTTGTTTTTCAGCAGACAAAGATACTTTCTTAGCGAAGTTCTGTCAGACTCCTTCCCTGCTGGGTGCTGTGGCTTTCCCAATTGTCAAGGCCATGTTAAAAACTAGGCTGTGGGACATAGATTGCCAGGAACTAATCTCAGCTGTGGAAAAAACATGTTCCCCTCTTTATTTTCGACTCTTGGGTGCAGGAATTTAACCTTAATTATTTACAATTTCTGTTTAACCCGCAAGAAAGAAGGGCTTTTTCGCTGGCTAGGTTCAATTCTAATCCTTCTAACCTCCTTTGGGGTAGGTTCACTGGTATGGCAGAAGGGAACAGGATCTGCCCATGCGATGCCCACCTGGTGGAAACTCTAGCTCACATGGCCCTTACATGTAAAACGTATGATGATCTCCGCCAACAATTTCTAGACCATCTATGTACAGTGGTACCTCGGGTTACATATGCTTCAGGTTACATACGCTTCAGTTTACAGACTCCGCTAACCCAGAAATAGTACCTCGGGTTAAGAACTTTGCTTCAGGATGAGAACATAAATAGTGCTCCGGCAGCGCAGCAGCAGGAAGCCCCATCGGCTAAAGTGGTGCTTCAGGTTAAGAACAGTTTCAGGTTAAGTACGGACCTCCGGAACGAATTAAGTACTTAACCCGAGGTACCACTGTATCCCAACATGGAAACCAGAAATGGAGGTTATGCGCTTCTTATTACAGGGGAGAGACCAGGAGCTCACCAAGACAGTAGCTAAGTTCCTTTATTTGATTTTTTGCCGCCAGAGTACGCTACAGGATCCTGCCCTTGCTGGAGTCCCACAGAGATGAAATAGATTGCTCGCCTCTTCTTCCCTTTGGCAAATGACTGTACTGTTGAAATGGCAATGAGATCTCACTGGCCTATTTATTCTGAATGTTTGTATGTGATGCCAATAAAGGTTTGATGATGATGATGATGAATAGCTGAGATTCCTTGCCCATTACTTATTTTTAATTGAATGTGCTGCTGCATACACACACTCACAAGAAACATACCAGCAACCTGTTCTGTGTCATGGTTTTTGGCTAAGACTCTCTTTCATACTTCCTGAATGCCAGCAATCCAGTCTTTCTCAATTAGTGGCTCTTTGAGCATTGTCACACTGAGCTTCCTGCCCCCTCCCAAATATGCAATTTTACTGACCCAGCAGTTCCCATTTCCTTGCATTCGTCCCAGTGACACAACGCCTGCCAGAGGTCTGCATTCTTGCCAAAGCCAAACTTCAAAGCTCTTCAGGAAGTCTAATATTTCAAATAAATACTGTGGATACAGAGCTGGAGTTGGATCATAGAGTTGGATCAGAACTGAACAGGCACCTCTGTAAAAAGGGATGTCCGACCCACACTGCGCTCCTTCATTGACCAAGAAATGCTCAGAGTGCAAACAAGTAGAAATGATTTATGCATGTGACACAAGTCCACCTCACAAAGTCAAAGAGCATCATGCCCAAGGCCAGCCAAGTTATTATAGCACCTGGGGCAGAAACCCCCCCAAGCAGGTTTCTTTTGTAGCCCCTCTTTACCATAAAAACGCAATAAAAATAAATTAAATGACTAACAATTTGCTCCCCTTTCGTGACATCTAAAATCAATTGCCTGGGGCACCTGCCTAATGGGAGAACTGGCCCTGCAACATTTTATTGCTGCTACATTTACTTTATTGCTACTGCATCTACTGCTTTTATATATGACCTTTCTTTCTTTCTTTTTTGCTGAGGAGCTCTAGCTTGGAGTCTAGTAAGAGCCTCTGTGTGAAAAGGAGGATGAAAAGAAGCGATTCCAAGTTCCCCAAAGTTTCACGCTACCCCAAAATGACACAAAATGACACAAAGTGACATTTTTATTTCATTCATCATAACAGATACGTGTAAGATGCAACTGTATTCATCATAAGAAAAGCACAAGACAGCAATCAGAAATAATGTAAGACAAACATTAAAGTGTAGATCCAAAGCAGCAGCAGAGAGTCCAATCTATTTTTTTATAATAAATGTTATTAGGGTTTATAAAGAGAAATAATAATAATAATAATAATAATAATAATAATAATAATTTATACCCGCCCACTCTGGGCAGTTCCCATCAGAATATTAAAAACAAAATGAAACATCAAACATTAAAAACTTCCCTAAACAGGGCTGCCTTCAGATGTCTTCTAAAAGTCAGATATTTGTTCATGTCCTTGAAATCTGATGGGCGGGCGTTCCATAGGGTGGGCGCCACTACCGAGAAGGCCCTCTGCCTGGTTAATATCAAATAGTAATGCTGACCCCATGTTAATCACATTGGTCAAGATTTGTTGAACGCAGCTAACAATTTGGCAGGACTTAGATGTGCATGTGCGAAGGCCATTGATCCATTGCTACTCTAACTATTCCAATTTAGATCCTTGCCCAAATTGAACCTAGAACCTTTTGCATGCGTTGTGTGAGAGTTACCAAGCTATCCCTCCTTAATGAAGAAGGGTTTTCTGCAATGACTGACAAGTGAATACATTTCCCAGGAGACTGGTTCCTTCACACATACACGCCATCCCTAGACTTACAGCTTACCTGAGCAAATACCCAAATATACTTGATTTTCCTTTGCAGCCAAGAGATATTTCTTTGCCACACTGCAATCATAAATCTGACTTCCCAGCGATCTCCCTTGTGTGCATGGCCCCTGATTTATGTTGTGAGTCTTCCAAATTGTTTCTTCTATGAAGGGAGATGGGCGAATTCAAGAGACAGAATAATATGGCTGATGAGATTCTTTGAAGTGGAAGTGCTATTCGGGTGCTTGAAAAGACATCGCTTCGGTTGAGAAACTGTATATTTTACTTTGCTTAGCAACTGTGGGCATGATAACCCCCTCAGCGTTAGGCAGGGAAATGTATGGAGCAAAGTTAATTTAGGCTTCATACAATTTGTGTGTGTGTGTGTGTGTGTGTGTGTGTGTGTTATTTGAATGCCATTTGCTGAGAGTTCATCAAAAGGTTCAGGGATTATTACAAGAGAAATATGTTAAACGGAGAGAGAAGAGGAAACTTCGGTAATCCATATTGCAAGGTGTTTTTCTCTAAAGCTGTCAGCATATCTGAGAAAGCAGAGATACAAGGAGGCATGGTTCTGAATTAAACACCAGGGTTCTGTTTATGCACACAGTTGGAATGGGCAAATCCAGTCAACATGGGTGAGCAACGTGTGGCCTGCCATTGGCCCTTGGCTTCTAGTTCTCAACACCATCAGCTGCCATGGTCAATGGTCAAGGCTGATACCCCCCTTCACCTGGTAAGAAGACTCAGAGACCGTATTGAAATTAAGGTTTCATTTATTACAGATATAACAAGTTGAAGGAACTGCAAGCTGAATTTAACCCAATTGACCAAAATCAATAAGTAGGGGGCTGGTGAGGATTCAAATAATTATGTTAGGGAAGCATTGTTCCAGCCTTCTCTAGGCATGTATTCCAGCCTCAGGCGAGGACTGAGGGCTGAGGAGCAATCAACTACCTTCTTGCCAGTAGGACCTTGGTTATAAATCCTAGACATGCACCTAGGCCCTGCTCTTGTGTGTTTGCCTAACGTGTGCATGACAAATCTCAAGGAGAATTCCCATGTCTACTCAGGCCCTGGCAAAGTTCTGAAGGGTGTCCTCTACCCAGCAATGCCTCAGTTTCCCAACTATGTTCTCACCCACTCCTCCACCTGCTCATGAGGGGCACCAATCATGCCACTCTAGGAACACCAACTGAACTAATCCCAACAGTGTGCAGGAGGCAAAAAAATAGGGGCTTCCAAGGGCCAAGAAGGAACCGCCCGTCACAAATTTTGTCTGGTCCCTTCAACAGATGAAGGGAAGGAGGGACATAGGGAAGGAGGGAGAATGCTCACAAGCTGGCAAAGAGGAGTCTTCTTCTTTCGCATCACTTGTAGCCGAGTAAGACTGTCTTCCATAAACACGGTTTTAACAATGAGTCCATAAGTGACTGTGGAGGCCAATTCTGGATCCACACATCCTTCCACAGTGGGGACATTGGTTTCTGGGCAGGAATTGATTATGGTGAGGGTTTGCCAAGCGTGCCTTCCTCTTAGCATGTTTCTCCCTTGCGTCCTGAGTTTGAATGCCTTCAAAGCCCATGACACCTTTGGTAAAGGCTGTTCTCCAATTGGAGCGCTCGCAGGCAAGTGTTTCCCAATTGTTGGTGTTTATACCACATTTTTAAAAATTTGCCTTAAGATAGTCTTTAAACCTCTTTTGTTGACGACCAGCATTACGCTTTCCATTTTTAAGTTTGTAATAGAGTAGTTGCTTTGGAAGACGATCATCAGGCATCCACACAACATGACCAGTCCAATGAAGTTGATGTTGAAGAATCATTGCTTCAACACTGGTGATCTTTGCTCCTTTCAGTACACTGGTATTAGTTTGCCTGTCTTCCCAAGTGATGTGTAAATTTTTTCGGAGACACCGTCAATGGAATCTTTCGAGGAGTTGGAGATGGCGTTTATAAGTAAAACCCAGATTGCTTTGCTCCTTATTGGCCGAAATGGCCTCACCTGTTCCCCACACGCTTTAGGAGCAATAAGTTCCTGTGTCTTCTTTCTTGAAGGAGGGATGGGGGCAGTGTGGTGTAGTGGTTAAGGGGGGTAGTCTCGTAATCTGGGGAACCGGGTTCGCATCTCCGCTCCTCCACATGCAGCTGCTGGGTGACCTTGGACTAGTCACACTTCTCTGAAGTCTCTCAGCCCCACTCACCTCACAGAGTGTTTGTTGTGGAGGAGGAAGGGAAAGGAGAATGTTAGCCGCTTTGAGACTCCTTTGGGTAGTGATAAAGCGGGATATCAAATCCAAACTCTTTTTCTTCTTTTTCTGCTTTAATGGCAAGAACAAAGCTGTGAGCTAATTTTCGCCATGTTTTCTATTCCACCTCAATGATCACCAACCCATTGTTGTCCCCATTCCTCATAATCTTTTCAGCAACCGCAGGGCCTATTTGCATCAAATTTCCTTTTGTTGGCAGGCATTATTTAACACTAATAGTAAACTGGTGCCGTTTGATATGTAGAGCTGTTGGTTTCTGTTTTTATAGCTCTTAAACTTTGATTTAGGTGCCCATTCGTTGTAAATAAGTGGTGTGTCATTTAAACACCAATGACTTGAACAAATGATCCAAATTAATTGCAGTTTATGAATGGAAATAGTTATGTAGGCAAGAAGTAGATAATCAAGACTTGTGAGCCACTGTGCTGGGTGAATTTAAGCATATTGAAGGCCAGATTGATCCCTCTAGAACCTTGTGAGAGTTATTTAGGACTACCACAATGGGAACCAGAGGACATTGCTTTAGCCACAGTGGAAAGAAAGAACAGAATTATTCCAGACTCCTCATCCATGTTGGCTTCCACTAGAATCTTCTGGAGTGGAATTTGGTCACTTGGAGAGTTTTGCACCTCTCCATGCAAAAAGCAGTAGTTAACTTCAGAACTGTCTGTGTTGCAAATGTGTTGGGAAGCAAACTACTGATGTCTGAGGGTTAGGAACTGACATATTCTATGAGTTTATGCATGGAGGGCAGCAATTCTGAGGAACACCAGGAGATAATGGAATGCTAAGGCAGCAGCTATTTTGAGACCAGCAGCTGAAAGATCAAAGCTTGTTCGCTGCTTTGGCCTTCTGTTGCATCATTCTATGAAGTTTGCAGTGGTGAATTTTGCAGGTAAGCTGAAACACACCCATCGTATAGCAGGCAACTTCTGTTTCAGGAACTTCTGTGCTGAGCTTTTGCTGTAGTGCAGCAATCAGTTCATGGCAGCTATTTCCCTTCTAATCCAAATCCTTCTCTTACGGCCAAACCAAGTTGTATCCCTCTTCTTGTTAATGGAGCCACCCTCTCCCTCAGCTCTCTTTAGAGCTGCAACGGCTATTCAGATGGTCT